CAGGAACAGTGGTTTATGGTGGTCTTATGGGGTAAAAATTGGTTTTTCCCATTTTTGACCCAAAAAACATACATAAAATTTAGCAGCTTCTTTCCAAACCATTTTTTAGAGCTTAACCCTAGCAGTGGCCAATGTTAGAAGTAGGGAATGGCCAACCCATTTTGGCGATTTTGCACACCTTTTTTTAAAAATTAGTAATAATTCAACCGTACAAGTAAACCGAGCCAACCTTATATTCATTTTGTTCAGAAAAAACAAAAGAATCTAGAAATATTAATATAATAATGATTTAGATAATGTATTTTATCGGTAAAGTGAAAAAAATAAAAAAATAAGAATATTTTTTGAAATTTCAAAAGCAGCCTCGGTAAAGTTTTTTCTACAGATTTTTTATGGGAAATTCATTACGGTACATACATTTTTTTAGACAATTTAATTCGCTACATAGAAATGTATTTAACATGTTAGAAAAATATTTTTTTATAAGTTTTTGGGGCAAATACAATAACAAACGGAGAACCGATAAAATTGAAAACCGTACAGTGTAAGTTTGTGTTGTAAAAAGTTATATAATATATGTGTATATTAATAATGATATATACATGTTTGTAGAGGAAATAAAGTAAGAAATCCAAAAAAGTCATAAAGTTTATCGTAAAAATATTTTTTATTTATAAATAAAATAATATTTTTGTGTTTTAGCAATTTTGTGAAAAAAGGTACTTTCCTGTTAAAGGGAACATTCATTATTATCGATCTGATTTCTTTCGATATATCGATATTTTTGTTTTCCTTTACGATCCATACCCTCTGTTTTAATAATATCTTCAAACACATTTAAATTACAAATTGACAACTGATATTGTTTAGGTAAAAATAGTATATTATGTGGATCCAGAAATAAAACTGTTCTAAACTAACCTAACATAACTAACCAAACTTGCTGTGCCATTTCAAAATTTTGTTTGATAACAGAAAAGGCATGTGAGTAATATGAAACGGGATTTGGAAATATTACGGCAAGTTTGGTTGGTTAGGTAAGGTGGTTTAGTGAGTCGGTGGCTCAGTCGGTAGCGTCGCGGACTTCGGGCCCAAGGCAGCGATGTCGTGGGTTCGCATCCTGGTCACTGCCGATAACATTTTATCAGTACAGTTCACCTTTGTACTGTACCGGCTCACTCCTTGCTTTGCTGTAAACGATCCACGCACGGGCGCTTAGTCTATGTGGACGGGCAAATGCAAGGTTAAAAGAGGCCGCCAACCTCTTTTTTAAAAGAACAAAGAACAAAGGTTAGTTTAGAACAGTTTAATTTCAATATAATATTTTAAAATTGTTTGTTGATACTGAACAATATTTTTAGGCCTACTTACCTACTTATCGTAGTTGTCAGCTGACATCTTGTTCATTAATATCGGTGTATCGGATCAAAAAATAGAATATCGATGTATCGAAAAAAAAAATCATCGATAAGTTAATAATGAATGTTCCCTTTAACAGGAAAGTAAAAAAAAAAAAAAAAAAATCATAGTGGGCCTATTTAGTATAAAACTTTTGTAGGCTACCAAATGTTTTTACTTCAAACCAACATAGGTCTTGTAGTGTATTCAATTACCTACATAAAAATGTATAACACGTTGGGTAACAATTTTTGTTTTTACGTGTTAGGGGCATAATAATATAAATAGCCTAAACGGAAAACCGCAAAATACAACTGCAAGAAAAATACAACCTTTTATAAACACAATTTCACACTAAAATGCATGAAGATTACTTTACTTTTATACACACACACACATTTCTCTAACAATACAAAATAATAACGAATTTAGTAATAAATCGGGGATAAAACGAGAGAGAAAACCCACCGGCAACAACACGCAATGGCGAATACAAGGCACTTTGTGCATGAGACCTTGACAGTAGTGACGCACTTTCGTCGTCTTAGTGAGAGAAAACGGAAATAACCCTGAGCGCAGAGCTGCCACTATCACAAGCTACATTTCTTCCTCTTCAAAATGACATATTATATGACTAGTACTTAGTCTAATTATAACTTACACTGTATGTAGCCTAATTCGTATTTACCGTACTAGCGTATTACGCTGGTTGGCCATTTGTTATCCCACAATGTTGTGCAATCAATATTTCGTTCTAAATATCAATACCACAATGAAGATAAAATCAATGGCTATCCAGTGGTACCACCCGCAACATACCAAGACGAAAATTATCCAAGCAGGGTAATGCCAAACAAGTCGTGTTTTTACAGTTCCCAAGTGTCAGCTGCAAAAGTCGTGCCACGCCAAAAATTCATTTGATTTCTAATCGTCGTGATATTGTTAAATACCTGCTACCTACTTACAGGGTTTGTTTATATAATAAAATGAAAGTTCAGAATGTTCCGAATGGTAGGGCCTAAGTTATATATATTGTTCATATCAGAGTTGATTATAAGCGGTTTTTTCACCGTAAAAAAAATTTAGGCCCATACTAGCGTATAACGCTGGTGGCCATTCTAGGCTTCACGGCGACGGGCGAACGAGCGTATTTAGGCTCGTTGGCCACTGCTAGGGTTAAAAAAACAAATAGGCCTAGGCCTAATTTAATATATTGAAGTCCCCATTATTAAGAGGAAATTAAAAAGAAAATGGAAATATAAAATCCCTATGTTATTCTTATGGAGAAAATTGTTAACTGTTGTAATTTGCTTGTTTATGAGCATATTTTGATCAAATTTGGAAAATGCATTCATTTCATTTAAAACTATTAAGTAACATAAAAAACCCCTTTTTTACCCTCCCTGTTGCAGCAAACCTAAGTACTTGTTAAACTAATGCTATTTAAATAAGGAATCAATGTGCTCAGCGCTCATTGAGGCAATTAAAACTTACTGATTGGACGGAGTCCCAAACATCCTATACGGTATCTATTGCATTAAGTTAGAACTTGACACAGGGCTGTGATTTGTCAAATTTTTTCTTGCAGTTTGTATGGGAGTTTGGACTTTTAATCTAGGCCTACTGTGTCCCTGTGTACTAACTTACCTGTTTAAGTTAGCAAAAACATGTTGCAGCCATTATCACCCATCCTATAAACATTGACCCTGCTAACGTTTAACTTAGCCTAAGTTACATTAAGTTGTAACTTATTAGGCCTACATTAACTTGTAAATGCAGGAATAAAAATTATATTTAGGTATAAGTTATTATTTTTGCTATTGTTAGAATATAGGAGGACTCTGTCCAAGTCCTTATGGACCAGCCGCCACTGTTTTTTTTTGGAATATAAACCTTTGTAACATATAACTTAGGCTAAGTTATATAGGATGCAATTACAACATAAGTTAAATTTGTGACCTCTGAAAATGCTACACTTCAAGGTGAAATTTACATCAGGAAACTAAATAGGTTAGACTTCCGCAGACAACCTACGATAGGCTATATTACATCGGATGAATAACAATACATATCGAAACTTTTTAGGTTCAATATATCGATTAGGAATTTAAGTGGAAACTAACTTAAGTTAAGGAATAAAAACCTTCGTTAATGTTATTGCTAAGTTAGGCCTATTGATTTTATTTATAATTTAGGCCTAAGTAAAATAAAATCATTATGATAATAATATTGAACCAAATAAATATCGATAAGTTAAGTTATATTTCGATAAACTTAAGTTATAGTTAAGTTTTATTCATCTTTAACTTATATCGTAGGTTCTCCACTATGGAAGTGTAACCAACTAAGTAATAACTTCAAGAACTATGTTAGAGGCAACCAACAAAACAGGTACAGGCTGGACTTTACTTGACGTCCTACACTCATTCGATTGGTTTTTTCGATTCGATATTTTCATTTGATTCTTTCATTCGATAACTTATATCGTTTGGTTAGTTAGGTTAGGTTAACCTTACCTAACTAACCGGTACTTGAGTATTAAACGGAGGCCACCTAACCTACAGTTTCTTAACTTAGCTATGATAATAGGCCTACTGATTATTAGTAAACCTTCATTCGATGTTTTCACTATCAGCAAGTTTGGTTGGTTAGGTTAGGTTATGATAGTTTAATTTTATAACTGATAAGTTATATAGCTGACCAGACACAGTGACAGGCGATGACAGGTAATGGAGCGCGCTCCGGTCAACGACCCTGACCTTGGCCTACTTGGAGGGGATTCTGCGAGTAGACACATGACTCATTTGATAACGCTTGATGCACAACAATACTAGAATAGTTCTACTACAACATCTATAACAATTTAACCCTCTATAAGTGCCGCGGCGCGTTTCGTAATGGTGGCCTCCGTTTAATACTCAAGTACCAACTAACCAAACGATATATCGAATGAAGCAATCGATTAATCGATATATCGATCGATATTTTCATTCGAATGAGTGTAGGACGTCAAGTAAAGTGCAGCCCAGGTACAACTTAACTTAGGCCTAACGTAATTGAAAATGTCTTGAAACTGGGTAGGCTAACATGATTAAGTTAACTTACAAAATATAACTTAGGCTAGGCCTGGTTTTTATGAAGGCCTAACTTCTTTGGCCAGTAATAGAATATGTATTTTTGTGTGTTTAAACCATACTTACCATACAAAAATAGAGAGGATGGACCTGTAAACAAAGTGGAACTAACTAGGCTAAGTAGCCTAGGTATAGATAGCTTGCAGCAATAGGTTACCCATATGTAAAGGAATGTGCCCAGATTTGTTTCCAGCGGTCTAATTTGAGGTCAAGCTATAAACATTCAACTGGTGATAAACCTTTGTAATTGAAATCGATCTTTTATAGAACACTTAAAATGTAGTGTTAGGCTATCCAACAAATATATTTGTTAGTGAATAATCGTCTCAAAAGTGGGCTGGGCTCAATCTTCTTATTGAAGTAGGTGAGGATTTTCAATGTAAAAGCAACTTCGAATACTTTGTATAGACCCAAAATATATTGTAGGATAAACGATTTAAATGCTATAAGTTTCAATCTTGTACTAACCTTAAATAATCACCAATTATTTAATCACAAAGGGCTGGTCCAAACTAATTCATCAGTTCAACAGTGTCAACATCAACAAACGAACGAAACAGTTCTGTTCTGTTTTAGTAAATTGACCTCACACCTGACGCTTACAATACAACCACTCAAAAAGTAGCCCCTTTGTATCATGCAGGGTTTTATAATAATAGCCCGCTTAATAATTACAATTCTAAAGTTTTGTTGTCTATTATTTACTTTGAATTCTAATTAATAAGATTTTTAGGGAAAATCAAGCTTAAATAGTACAATTATTGTAAAAATCATAGTGTTATGTATTCATCCGCTAATAACCAAACCAACTACTCTTTCAACCTGAAAATAACAATGAGTCAACGGTGCAACGAGTCAACAGTGAAAACGCAGAATGTAATGCGTATATATATATAAAGATGCATGCATCGATTTTAAAATGAGATACTACCATAGATGAAGATTTATTCTATGATACTACCATAGGCTAACCCAATCAACACAATTATACTCATAGCCGCCATAGGCGGCCGTGGTATACTTCCTGTTCCGTTCCATTGTAAAATTTGAAGCTCGTTTTTCGCGTCCAGTTCATGGGTGACACTGGGCACTAGTTTTGACGGAATTAATTCACTTATTTTATTTATGAAAACATTTAGCAAACAATGTCTCCAATCCAATGAGAATGTAATTATAATCTGATATTGATCTGATGTCGTTGTGCATTGTTCTAAATGTTAAAAGAAAGTTTTGTCAAAAATAATTATCAAGAAATATTATTAAGTAAAATGTTCTATTAACATTACAATAAACCACCTTTATCTATCATAATTAGGCGGTGGAAGGAAAATACAGCAGACTATAATTTGTAGTAAGAGGTGTCAATTGTTAAAATAAATTTCAATCAATTCAACAGAGGTAGGCCTATACTAAAAAATACAAAAAATAATTACAGTGTAGTTCATTTATCAAGAATTCCAAGTAGCCTAGAGTATTAGCAAACTGTCATTAATTATAAATTCAAACATTCATTGTATTTTATTTGTTTCAACAGTCTTTGCTAATTATATTTGATATTATGGTATTATACTTGTATAGGATAGGTATTTTGTAGATACATTTGGCATGTTTAGATAAAAATAGCATGCCACCTCCGTTTCCAGTGACACTCTGTTTGCAGGTGCAGGTGAATGTAAGACCTCGGGTATGATACGAGCAGTGGTGTGATATGCACTTGAATAAAAGCAACAAAAGTTGGTTAGATTGCGTAAAAAACATTATAAACATATACAATTTAAGAGCAACTGACAGATGTGACTCACACTTTTGGTAAGGCGAGTGACTCTTTAATTAGTTTAGTGTTTTCTTTAATCAGTTCTTTGGTCGAGTACAGTACAGGGGCCTAACAACTATAGGCTCTGGCGAAGTGTGGATTTGAATTGATTTGGTTCTAGGGTCTGGATGCTTGTTGGTAGCGTCAGGGTGTTGAATAATTTTATTAGTAGCGATGGGTAATTAAGTGTGTGGCTAAGTCAACAGCGACAGCGGGGGTACATCCAGGTCACAAGCTCTGTGGGTCCCATGTTGTGGTGTATATTTCTGGTTGAGAAGTCGTTTTAATTTTTTCTCAGAAGGACTAGGGAGTAGTGGGGTGGGAACCCTGTTGTAGTTCTATGGTGGGAACTATTGATGCACAATTACGAGATGTTACAACTAAAACGTTTTGATTGAACTCTCTGGTTGTATGTTTCAATTAATTGTATTTCACTAAGCGAGAGGTTCTTACCAAAAAGTTTTTAATGAGATATCCTTACCGCTTACCGAGAACCAGGAGTCCTTACCCTGGAGGACTTATGACCTGATCATGCCGATTGTTTCGTTTAGCACGGAATGAGCATATAATTCCTGTCATCAAATGTTACAAAAAAATAAGGAAAGTTGTTCATTTAAAGTTCTCTGTAAAATAAAACCCTAACAAAGTTACCTATTGTAACACTTCAAAGGTGAATCACCCTGTATAGGTTCTTTGGAAAAAAATACTGGTAATGCCGTTCCCACTAATGATCTGGATTGCGAGATGTGTAAACAACAATCAAAATGTCCCTTCTCAAGATGTTCCACTTATCATTTAATCATTTTTTTTTTATTGTTATTAAATATCGATTGTTTAGCGAGAGGTAATTGTATAATCAAAATGTTTCTCTGATTGTTGCATTCGCTAAGCCACGTCTGTACTACTGTCCACACTTCATGAGCTGTCCCGAAGAAGTTAATAATTGAATCAGCCTGTATATTGGTAAGCGACCCGTATTTTTTCACGACGTTTTGTGAATGTTCCCACACTAGGAAATTTATTTTATGACTACACCACTGGATGTGAGCGGCGAGCCACCTGCTCTGATATCGAGTCTCATTTAGTTGTGCGTAAATATTTTGAAGGTGGCCATAATACGTCTGAGCTGTGAGCGACGCACCAAGTCCACACCAATTTTTGCTGCTCTCAACTCAGATGGATCATGCTTCAGTTTTGTTGTAAACCATATGTAATGATATTGTAAACTTGCTCTTCCCTTCTCAATTCTCCACCTCAATCTGCTCAGTATGTAGTCTAAAGTAGGGATGGAAATACTTGTGATAATTCAAAAAAACCTATCGCCATCTTCCCTAAGCTACAGAACTACTGTAGATGGTGGTATTTCTTCTTCTTCCCTGAGGAAACTCGCTAAAAAGGAGGAAAGGGAGGAAATTCGATAATAAATGCAATACGTCCAATGATCTGCACAGTTTGCAATCTTGAACTACACTCTAAACAGAGGAAATTTTATGAGTTTTCAGGAAATTGATGCTTTTATCATAGCCATCCCCGCTGCTTACGTGTCGCTTAGGTTGCTGCTTGTATCGTGCCTGGGCCAAGGCCTGTCACACAGTTTGTAGGCCTGGTAGCTGATTAATTGTCAATTTCTTGTTTGTTTGGTCCAAGAATAAAAGAAAAAATATTACATCAGACACTTATAATCTGTGGACTGTAAGTCAAATCACAGAGTCAAGTCACCCTGATAAAGGTCGGTGAGTAGTGTTAGTATTTTGTCAGGGTCGTCACCAAAACAACGATTCTACATTATATTTATAGAATATATGTTAAAAGTAGAAAAACCATCAGGAATAAATGAGGTCAGAACAGACATTAGTGAAAATCTGTTTTAATAATAAATTTTAAGCAGCTAATTTACATCGGTGATTAGTGAGCAATATCAATAAATAAACAAAACAGTGAAGAACATTAAAATATGAGAGCGATTTACTCTGCTGGGTTTTGTATGACAATCAGAATAAACTCCTTATCTGAAACAGAAAAGCAGATTATTGATTACAACACACCAGATTGCATGCACTAGATAGGTTGGGGAGGAAAGGCTAGGCCTTAATTCGTAAATTAAAAAACCATGCAAACCAAAATGTTTTAAACAAATATTCCTAGAAATTTAAAACACATTATTTTTGTAAAATATTTTAAATATTGTAAAATTACCTTGTTTTCTTAACACAACTTTTAGTCATGATTTTTGTTACTTGAAGTAAAATGGATTTTCATCGCTGTTTTGCTCACTTAAATTTTAAGGAAATAAAATAAAAAATTTCTAAGTGCTGGAATTAATTGCATGAGTAAAATTATGATAAATTCCAAGCAACAGGTAAACCTAACCTGTTTAACTTAGCAATGTTTACGTTTTCCTTAAAAATAATGAATGAACAACACATTTTAATCAAAATTTGTTTTTCTTTTAAATCTATTTTTATGTTATTTTATGATTTTTTTAATGGAAAAATAACACAGGCCTAAGTTACAATAACTTGTGAACTGTAATTTTGACGGAAATGGGATTTACAAGTACCATTTCGTTCAGAATTTAAAGGACTATAACATACTAAATTTTTATCAATATCTTATGGCCATTTTTGAGAAAATCCTTATATTCTGGGTTTTATAGAAAAATCACCATTAAAAATAAAAAAAAAAAAAAAAAAAAAAAAAAAAACGCTAGCATATTCTATGGATTAATGCCAACATACCAAATTTAATCAAAATCAGACAACAGATGTGGTCTGTAGCTCTGTGCAAATCCACACATACAGACAGAAAAACACACACACACGGACAGACATCACTTCGAAAACCACTTTTTTGGGTTCAGGGGGACCCAAAACAAATATATCCACTCAAAACTCAAACTCAAAAATTTTGGTGAGAACAATACTTTCTCCATAATACCATGGTATAGGAGAAAGTAAAAATGTGTTAACCTAAACCTGTGTTTACTTTACTTTTGCTTGTGCATTCTTTCACCTTAAATGTATTAAGGATCTAATTTTAGTGAAGGAGGGTAAAACAATAAAGAATTGTATGTTAGATAAATTGTGTGAAAGCCATAAAATAGTATATAATTGTTAAACTGTAAAATAATACATAAGATAGTGCACAGTGGTTTTAAGTGACATAAAGTCAACAACCATAAGGAGACAAAAGTACATAAATAAAGCTCAGTGGCACACTCAATATGACACAATCTTAAGTGTCATATACAAACAAAAGGTGGTTATGCTATATAGTTCTAGAACTAACAAAAATTAATTAAATATCAAATCAGTGTCTATTAGTAGTCTTTTCAACGGGACTGTGCAACATTCAACTTGTGAGTTCAAATCAACAATCTTGGCACAAAAAGATTTAATAAACACATTTCAAACTAAGGATTCAGAATGGTTGAAAACTTGCCAATAATTTCTTTGTAACTGATTACAAGAATCATTCCAATGAATATGAGGATTTTTATCAAACGAATTGGCTAGAAGCCATAAACTAAGAATAGTTTATTTTAAGAATTGTCATCTTTAGTTGTAATCATAGAAGTTCCTGTATAAAAACAACTTGGGGTTAGAACTAGTTTGAGAAAAACACCTTGCAATTGGAATATATTAAGGAAGAAGAAATTTATTTACACTACAACAACTCACGGAAGAAAAGATGTGCTAGCACATCAAAAGTTCAAATGGGAATTAACTTGATATTTTCCCTCTAAGGGGGAAATAGGGAGTTTTTTCAAAAGTTAGTAGTAGAATGCAAAAGTAGTTATAGCTGCTACTTTTATCTGAAGTTATAACGTTTATTTGCTTTGTCAACTTCTTTAGAGCTATCAAATGCCACGTGCAGAGCTATCAAACGTTGTGAATATGTCTCTTCTTCCTTAATATTTAACATTTTAAAATAACAAAATTAGAAAAGAAACAACTTAATGGTTTATTAAATTACCTGGCGCTACCATAATTTCATGCTTTTTCGATCGTATTCTGAGAAACGTTAAATCGTTTGAAGGGTCCAGATCTCGAACAACACTACGAGCCTTATCCGACAACTGGCTGATCAACCCTGCGTACTGCACTGTTGTGGTGTTGTCCATGGTGGTTTTTATCGGTATTCCTGAAACCAAACAATCAAATTGGTCCTGCATTTTTTACCAAATTTAAAAAATGGCATCCATAGGAAGTCTGCAATTAAATACAAGTTTTAGTGATAGGTAAAATACTTAAGTTCAGTAAGACTATAACTTAAATCTGTATGATGAATCCGTTTTCAGATTCTCGTTCACCTGAGACTGGCTTGGGCCTTAAACCATTGGCCCAAGTAGACAAAGAGTCAGAAGTTCCATCATACAGGGAATAGACTATTAGGTGTGTTTAGACATTAGACAATATATTTTGATTGGTTTATCAAATACAAGACGGGTTATAATACAAAATTAACATACTTGATGGGTTTGTTGCACTACACACTTCACTGAAGAATTTTAATCTGCCTGGTCAGCATACTAGAATAGAATCTATATATTGGGTAGACTATTTAACCCTTCGTTGGTGACACCAAGGAATTTTCCTACGGGCGCATAAATTTGTTTTTATAGAAAAATATGTATTACCTATCGCTAGCCGGTTACTTTAAGAGTAACAGTACCTTACATGCATCTTTCTAGGAACCGATTGAGCATACATTTGATCTCACACCTTCTCCGCAAAACCCCTATTAATCAGTTGGAGCCCGGCTACGTGAGTGTGATAGTGTTGTGGTTTTTGTTTGCTATATACTTTTATGAATATTTAAAGTAAGAACTTTTATTGATTCGCAAACTAAGCAAATTTTCATTTACCTGGCTGGATATCTATTAAAAAATCCCATTAAAATTGTCAGATTTATTTTTCCTATTTAAATAACATTAATTTTAGTAAGTACTTAGGTTTGCTGCTACAGGGAAGATACTGAGGTGTGTTTTATTTATTGAAATGTTAATAGCTTAGTATGAAATAAACAAAATATCCAAATTTGGTTAAAATATATCCATAAACAAGCAAACTACAGCAGATTATTTATTCTCTTAATAATATGGGAATTGTTTAATTAAAATTTTTTAATTATCTCTGTACCCGTTGGGCATACAACACTTCACTAAACAAAATAATTTATTTTTTTAAGCTCTACAAAATGGTTTGAAGAGAAATTATGAAATTTTGTGTTTTTAGGGTCAAAAATGGGAAAAATCAATTTCTACCCCCATAATCCCCTGTTCCCATAGACAGATTTCCCTATATGGGAAATTTGCTAAAACAACGTTTGTCTGTTTCAACAACCGGAAAAAACCCCTGTGTGTCACCGATCGTGTTTTGAAATCAAAGACATCGACGCAGGGTTAAGTATTTTTTTAGTTCTCTTGAAATATCATTGATAATCATGATGACTGAAAATTGCCTTGGATGCACTGAGCCTACCGAGTACATCGAAGGATTGATCAATACCTTCTGCATTGACGACAATCGTTCCCACAACTCCTTTGTGTGACTGGATACGTTTGAGAGTTTCTTCAACTTCACTTGCCTGTAATAAAATAAATGTATCAAATAAACAAAAATTGCATTAATTTTGCCTTAATACAACACAATTTTTGTTGTTAGAAATTAGAATAATCAACGATTAAAATTCAAACAAACTTTGTGCATCCAGTCCAGATGGAACCATCATATACAATATATGAATTTTACCATCTAGTGTGCTAAAAGTTATGTTTAATTTGTGACTAAAATATTCGTTGTTCACCTGACTTATTAATAATATAAGGCCTACCAAAGTTAATGAAGACTCATATACAAGCAGTCTACACCAATTAACTCTTAAAGCTTCAGAACCTGACGTATCAGACACAATGAGTAATATAGGCTAACCAAACTTCTATTTACAGCACAACCTTGTTGTAATGAATTTCGAAGGGCCAAACCAAGAATTTGTTATACAGTAATGAGTACTTTGTAACCAGTTAGGTTTAAGGTTTGTTACATTGAGGTAAGGTGGTCTGGGGATTCGCAACATCAAGATTTACATACCATTTCGGTTACATTTGACCATGTAAAATCATACTATCTAAATTAATTGAATAAAAACATTGAAAAAATAGACAAATGCATAAGGCCTATAATTAGGCACACAAATTAAGTGAAGTTATTACAATTTATTCACAATAGTCAAAGGTAATGGTGAAATCAACATCAATTCTAATGGTGGGTTTTAGGGATTTAGGATGAACTGCACAACTATCCAACCGAGTATAACCATCGACTTTAAACCTAGTCAATGGTATAACTCAACAGTAAACGCTCAAAGCAATACTTGACAAGTGCTGCAACCTTGGTGTTAAGTTTAAAACTAAAGTACATTTGAGTTTTTTATTGTAGCCGTTTTATTGTTTTTTATTGTGAGGTTAACCGTTATCTCGTCTATACCCAAGTGGTCTAAAGTGTTGTCTCTCTGGCCAGGAGACGGCAACTCAGATTGAGAATTAGAATCCATCTCGGTCAAGTCAGGTAGGCAACTCATGAGGATCCAACTTTCTATAGCAGAACTTGATGGGAGAGGCCCTCATAAAATAAACTGTGGACTGTTTGGTAGAAGTTTACAATATGTGTATTCTTTGTGACTTGGACGCCAGTATTTTGCAACTTTTTTATTATCCCTACTGTGTGCATGAAATCTGTGGACAGTGTGGAAAGTTGAGAATAAAGAGTCAAGCATGATAGAGAACAAAGAGATTTGTTCGAAACACCAGACATGTTAACGAAGGGGAAATGAAGCTATAAGCTAGTATAATATGAAACAAATGTAATAAACATTTACCGGATGTCTCCCCCACCCAAAACTTTGAACTCTCACCGGTCCCCTAGTAAATTGGGGTTATTGCTTATACCTATTCAGATATACCTAGTTATAAAAGGTCTCAGCCAAGGTTGCCACCTTTTGTTAGGGAAAAATCCGGACCCCCCCCCTTGGAACACAGACATATACACAGGCAAAAGGGACCTAAGTAGGGGCTCTCCCAAAAGAGTCGGGACGGGGAGCATTGGTAGCAACCCTGGTCTCAGCACAAAAAAAGACATTTAGGGGTACCTTAAGAAAGTTGTACCTATAGTTTGGCCGCATAGAAAACGACCTGCGTGCTAATGCTAAACCAATGCTAGAGGAGGTCGATTTCTACGCGGCCAAACTATAGTATTGATGTCATAGAATATTTTAAAAGTGATCTTAGAACATTAAAAACTGGGGTCTGGGTCCTCAATGTTAAAACCCCAATTTATGCTGTATTATTTTTGTGTTTCTCCTCATTTTTAAAAGTTTACTAACCTGGAGAGTCTTAAACATGATGTAGGTAGGCCTAACTACTTTTATGCATAAAGCAGATAACTTACCGAAGTTGATTTTGTATACTTAGGCAGTAACCTAATGACATACTCTTAGGCTAATGGGTGTTGAGTTTAACCAAACATATTAGTGAATGATACATTAGTTGACGTTAGATAGTAACAAGACAAGGGTTTGGACAGCTCCCTTACAAAAAGCATTAATAAATGCCCCTGGCATAAATAGACAAAATAAAAAAATATAAGTTAATCCTTAACCTGTGTCTATTTTGGTCTTAATTATGAGAATTACCTTGCACATTGTTGATGATGAGCTAATTTAAATAAAGAGCTATTAAATGAAATGACTAAGTATTTAGAACAGTTCTCTGATAGAATGCTACAAGAGTACTGATGTTAAAATTTACCCTGATCAACATCTCTAGACAAATTTGGAAGAATCCCGGGAAAGTTGAGTTTGGCCAAATATTCTACACATTAATTATTACGGACTTGGCTTGGCACTCTAAGCCAAAAGTGAAACAATCACAAACTAACTTATAGCCTAAACTAGTGCACATTAAATTAACCCATAAATAGCACATAAAAGTGTGAACATACCATATCTAAACTTTAATTATTTGAAGGCAATACTCTCAAAACTGACAAACTCGTACAACGTACAGCTTTTAGTAATAATTTATTCGATACCTAACAAATTAACAAATTACACACGGTTAAACAATGTTGTTGACGGCAACGAGGAGTATTGACAGACAGCTGGATTCATTGACTGACAAGTGACAGTAGAGTAGAACAGTTACAATGAAACTTCAGCTAATGGCCTTACATAGAGTAAACTGAAATCCGAAATAAAACCTGAATACAATTTTAAATTATAATTAATTATTTTCGTTTGCGTTTTAATGTAAAATATGGGGATGGCATAGTCATCGTTGAAGAGAATATTTATTATTTAGTTAATGTTAATATAACTGATTATGCTACTAGATTTACCTTTCTTATGGATTGGAGGAAGACAATCTTTAGTATGTCCATTGATTATACGTTATATCCACAAGTAAAACTAGTAAACTAGAAATAAATTGGCCTTTTTATGAAATGAAATGCTTTATTTTCCATTAGGCATGAAATGCAATAGGCATCGTCAGAACAAATAACAACTTAACAACTAACAGAACAATAACATTTAGTTGTGTTGCTGAAGCACGGCCGCCTTTAACTACAGGCCGCGGCCTGGTAGAATTGGCAACGTCGCAAGTGGTGGTATAATAGCTGTTTTGTTTGGAAGCAGCTGATGGTATTTTTGTATTTACGAAAGATTGATTACTTAACTATGACAATATTGACTCCACTTAAAATGTACAGATATAGATTTTTAATTTATATTGTTTCGGTTTTCAATTCTGTATGTTTTATTTTTAATATTTTAGTAAATTTAAATTTATGTTCATAAATTTATATTTAAATAAATAAATTTGCGAATTAATGGGCTGATGCAAGGCCCCACTAGTAATGTCACCTGTCTGCCATGTCATCTTGTGGGACGTCTGTCACTAAACAACACCACTTGCGACGTTGCCAATTCTACTAGGCCGCGGCCTGTAGTTAAAAAGGCCTTGTAAAAAGCCCATTAATTAATTATATTGTACCTTGATGACCTTGAGACCTTGTACCTTGATACCTTGATGACTAATACAAAAATCCACCACTGACCTCTTCTACGTTAATCAATGGGACCCTTCAATGCGCTGCTTTCTTAAAATATTGATTTATTAAAATGCGTAGGATAAAAAATAAATTATATATCGAAAAAATTTAAAATACATCGATTTATTAAATTTACCATTCTATAATCTTTGCTCTCTTTTTAGTAATCTCCTGTTGGTCATATGCTTTACTGTATGTATGTATGTAGGTAATTCTATCTTTCTTGTTTTGTTTACTCCAATTTCCAAACCAATGTTTCCAACTGTGTTTTGGTCGGTTTCTCTTCTGTCATAGTCGTAGTGTTATTATTATTGACACTACATTACCGAGGTTATCCGCAGAATTTTCGCCAAAATTTCAAATTTGCATTCTGTAGGCTTTTAAGTAGCTAGTAACTTGTATTCATACATTCTAAGCAAATACAGTATATATTATCCAAGGACCTACACATATTCATTAGGATGGAAGTAGGCTGTAAGTAGCTAATAGATTTAAAAATTTATCTTTAATCAAACTATTTATCAATGGCCAGTTTTAGTTTTTGCGTTTTAATTTGTGCTAAATATGTCAATTTCAATGTGGCTTAGGCCTATAGGTGATAGGCCCAAGAGATTTGTATGGACTGTTCTGTTGTTTTAAAGTTAAGCCTGCAGTGAAACATAAGTTAGGCCTAGTTTATTTATAAATAGGGATGAGCATTGATAGGTTAACCATTGACGTTCACCATCAATGGTACTATCGATGCGAAACATCGATGTAGGCCTACCGATAACATCGTTGCAAAAACATTGACTTTTCGGGGCTAAAACATGAATATAAAGGTTACTTACAGTCTTCGCAATCCTGTAAATTGAGCACTACGGCCGTTTCGGAGATAACTCCATCGTCGGGTGCGTAATGAAAGTGAAGAAACCACGTAAAAAATGTAAATATGTAAATAGTTCAGATTAGTGTATGATGACTACGCACCCGACGATGGAGTTATCTCCGAAACGGCCGTAGTGCTCAATTTACAGGATTGCGAAGACTGTAAGTAACCTTTTTATTTATTACACGCAATCTGCCACACTGATTAATCTTAAAACATGAATGTTATTCAATGTTTTTTTTTTTAGTTTTTTGTCTGTTCTCCATAAGTAGGTAGGCCCTACTGCAACAGCTAATTAACCTGAAACCAATAACTTACTATTCAGTCATGGAAAATGTCAATATTTCAATACTTTGCCAAAATACATGGATGTAATTCAGTGTATTCAGTGTACCTTCTCTTTTATAGTATCAACATTTTTAGCCTACACTTATAAACAACTCATCGACAATTTCGACAACCTACTGGCCAACATTAACATGTCTCAATACTTTTCAGCTGAGCTGGAGGTAACGGGAGTTTCAAGATCAGGAAGAGTGAGAAAAAAATCTTCCAAACTGACTGATTTTGAATCTTTGGATGAATCTGAGAGGTCCCGAAAGAAAAATGAAAAACCTGAGGCATCACCAACAAGTATGAAATATTTTATGTTACAAAAACCTTCTTACCAGTTAAGTAGTTCTTTATAATTAATCCGCTCGGTGTCAGACATAAATTAATTCATCAATGGTAACGATCTGCTCTGGGATGTCAAGCGGACGGTAGTGTATATGGTTACAAATTGTCTTTTAATTTAGCCCATTTTTCTCTAATAATTTATGGACTGGATTTATTTCATTAACTGAAATATTAGAAAACTGGCTGTCTTCAGAGAAAAAGTCAGTGTTTTGGTTGCTTGCTTAGTTGTGTGTTGTTAGACAATAGACAAACATCTTTATATGTAATTTCTGTTTGTTAGTGTTATTGCTGTGTTTTGTAGCTTGTTAAGTACTAGCCTATATTTTTTCTATTGAAAATGGGTTTTTATCCTTTTAGACTAGGTACTTTCTTAGATTACTTTCTTACATCGGTAAGTAGTTATTTAAGTTAGCCTACCTTTTTATTTGTGACATACTTAACTTAAATGCTGAATTATGATGTAAACATTGCTGCAAAGTGCCAGAAAATCAACGGACACCATACAAAATATGATTGACACCGAAAGAGTTAATAATTAATTAATTACCTACTAACCAAACACAAATTAGCCTAATAATTACTGAGGTCTAGCTAATCAGCATGATTAGTATTAAAGTGAATATAATAGCAGAAGATGTGATTTAACAACTTGATAATTTATTTACAATTGTACTGTAAAATTATACTAGTTAGAGTTACATTAAATATGTTACAATGCCTAGACGTTGTATCAATTTTTGTCCAAGTCACACCGTCATCATAAGAGTAATTGCCAGCCAAAACTAAAAAAAATCAAACGTTTATTTAATAGTGACAACATTTAAATTATATAGGCTACAAAAGTCAAAGGTATGTCAAAGTCATGTACGCTGATGCCTTTTTGTTTTAGATGCAACACCTAAAATGTCTAACTCACAGAAGAAAAGTGTAACCATCAAGATGGAGATGAACTCAGAAGAGGTATGTTGTAAGGAGTGTACAGACCAAAGTATACATTCATTTGTAGAGATACTGTACTTCCAATTGTGTGAGGGTGGTTAGGATTCAAAACTAGGCTATTATCAATTTTATTAGTACAGACGTGTTTAGTTGCAACTTAGTCATCCTCAATAACATTGTGACATTATACAGGGCCCCCAAAGGAAAACTTTCTACAACGGACTTGGAAAAATCCAAAAAAAAATCTGCAGGCTTACGTTTTGTTCTGCAGCCAAGTTGGGTGTAATTGAACCCCGTGTGTGATAAATTTAATGAATATTTGGAAATAGGCCTAAATAAGTTTTCAAATGCTTGTATCGGTTTGAATACGCCTACTTACATACATTGAATCGCTTTGGTAACTCGGTTATTCTATACGTTCTTCCTCACGATCGATGCACTGAATATTGACTTCGCAGTTTTTGTTTATATAATGCATGATGTTTTGTAGCGTTACTGTTTGCAGAAAGGAGAATTTTTCTGCCGAAAATAAAGTTGACAAATTTCCACAGAAATGTTTTCTGCAAAAATTCAATTTTACTAACTTGTTATCTATAATACTTATCTGTAGAAACCTATACAGGTTAAGTGTAAGAAAAATAGATAATTTTGCAATAAAAAAAACACCAGTTGGACAGGCTGGCCTTTAGCCCTCGATATCTTTCTGCGGCAATGTTACACTGTCGCCCATAGTTCTGCTTTGGGGTTCCAAACTAGCTACTATAGCAGGAAAAAAGCAATAATAATAGTTTAATTTACCTCTGTCAATATGGTCCTTGCGTAGTTTGTCACTACTGCAGTTTCGTGCTCGTGGAGCACATCTTCAGGTGAAGATCACGAAAGTTAAAACATTTTCTTCATGTGAAGGTCGTCAATTTTGGAAAAACACCGAAAACATATAACACACGAACGGTACGAAAAAACATTTACAAACTTGGCCAATACATTAAAGCGTTACAGTAGACTCCCTCTTATCCGGACTCCTCGGGACCGAAGCCAGTCCGGATGACGGGTTTTCCGGTTAAACCGACGTCCTCAAAAACTCGTTAAAATGGACTGTTTACTGTGATATTCGACTTAAATTTAGGAGAGCATTTTATTAAGACACATGATCACTGGTCTCAAATCTTTCCCACGGAAACAGAGACGTTTCAGTACTGCCCACTTCCTGCCGATATAGTCCAGTTAAACCAATGTGCTGATAAAAATTGTCCGGTTAAAGAGATGTAATTTCCGCCGAGTGTAGTCCGGTTAAACCAAAGTCCGGTTAAAAGGTGTCTGGATAAGAGGGAGTCTACTGTACACAGGAGGTCCGGCGCCGGTAGAAGGCAAGTCATGACAGCATGTCAACAAGCCTTATCTAGAGTGGTGGGAGTGACTACGATATTTTATGGGTACAATCATAAAAGTTAAGATTTATTTTGAACCTTTATTTGTACAGATTGGGGGTCGTACCATTTTGTTTAGAGTTAAAATGACTATAACATACTAAATTTTAATCAAAATCGTTCAACCCTTTTTTGTAAAAATAAGATTTTTTTGTTATTTTATGGGAAAATCATCTTTAAAAATCAAAATGGAAAAAATGAAAAAAAAATCACTAACCCACATACCAAATTTTATCAATATCGGACCACATGTTTACATGTGTACCGGTAACTCTGTACACATCCACATGGAACACACATGCAGAAAAATACACTCACGCACATCACTACAAAAACCACATTAGGGTTCACAGGGACCCAAAACAGATATTTCCACTCAAAACTAAAACTTAACAACTAGAAGAACCTCTACCGTGTGTTGTTAGCCTAATGGTTAGCGTTCCGGACTTCGGTGCGGGAGGGACGGGTTCGATCCCCGGCACATCAAACAGAGAGGTTTTTTTCAAAGGCTGAAGAGGATCTGATCCTATAGCAGCCCTGTCCGGGGAGTTTCAGCTTCCTGGACTAATTATCACGATCACGAAGAACCTCTAGCTGATTTGCTGTTTTAAAGTGGTGTACCGATATATATTTCTTTAAATTCAAATCAAGTTATAACTTTTTGTTCACGTTTTAGGATGATGATGTTCCACCTACAAACTTTGCAGTGAAAGAAGAAGTTCCTCCGTACTCTGAGTCCGATTCAGAAATGGGAATGTTCCAGACCAATGATTCTAGTTTAGACTCTCTTGGTATGAATGACTAAATTTAATTGTTCCTCTTACCTTTTAACTCATTATTTGTACAGTATTATTGTTTGCTAACCGTAATAAAGATAAACTTACATATCTTTAAGTTTACCATCGTCAAGGCTTACAGAAGGTGTCGTCAGAATGAGTTACAAACATTTAACACTTAACACAAAACGATTACATTACAGATAGATCTGGATTGGGCAGGACTGAAAGTAGTCTACTTCTAGTCCTGTCCACGGCAATGTACACATGTGAATTGATAGGCCTATCTTCACGTTTCGTGTGTTATGTTAAGTGTTAAATGTTTGTAACTCATTCTGACGACACCTCCAGAAGTGGATTTTTTTGTAAGCCTTATTAAAAAACTGCCAAAACATATCTAGTAAGTTTTAAAATACAACTCTACTGTAGGCCTACATGTTAAGGATTGTGTGACAAGGTAAATTTTTTACTATTATTAGCCATAAAACACAACCCTGTGGCTATTAAAATGAATTATAAGTTATAACTTAAAGAAAGTTTAAACAGAAATGTGTTGTCGAGGACTTTCAGATGGTTAATTTGCATCTGCTGTCATCATTTCATTGATATAACAGTTTTCCATTTAAATTCTATGTTTTGAGCCCCTGAGCTGTTTGACATAATGTATGACTAAATTACTTGCGTAAATTTTGCCAGACATTCCAAGCAAAATATTTTAATCAGGGTGTGTTTTTTTAGAACACTAGCATAAGCTTCAAATACTTGTGAAGCCGCTCAGTTAATTGAACATTCTGAGGAATTATCAATACAATCCACACATGTATTAACGGTCTTTATGATGAACCATAATTAACAATTGACAACCAATTTACAAACAAGACCTGTTGTGACAATAAAGACCGACCACACTTGTAGCACGAGACAAACTGCCACTGTTGTATGTGTAACAACACATTAAAGAATCATATTTGGTCCAGCATCTGTCTGCTGTCACTGTATACTTTTATTTAGGGATGGACGGGATTGAATTTTTAGTTCGGGACGGGACGGGACGGGATTTTTATTTCCTTCCCGATTTTCGGGACGGGACGGGACGGGATTTTTTTCTGTGCATAAAAAGAAAGTACTGTATTGCAGTTACCAAAAAAGACATACAAAATAAATTTTTACCTTTTGTGGCACTGATCTATAAAAACCAAAAAATGGGTAACAATTTACAGGTACCTATAGTAACTTGTGACTCACGGGGTGATCGTCTGTATGACTCACGGTCACGGCGCGATTGTCGTCATGACTCGCGATCACGGCGCGATCGTCAGTATGACTCGCGGTCACCGCGCGATCGTCGGTATGACTCCGCGGTCACGGTGTTATCGTCGGTATGACTCCGCGGTCACGGGGTTATCGTAAGTATGACTCGCGGTCACGGCATGATCGTCGGTATGACTCGCGATCACGGCTCGATCGTCAGCATGACTCCACGGTCAAGGCGGGATCGACGTCATGACTCGCGGTCACGGCGCGATCGTCGTCATGACTTACGGTCACGGCGCGATCGTCGGTAGGACTCCGCGGTCACGGCGCGATCGTCGGTATGACTCCGCGGTCACGGGGCTATCGTCGGTATGACTCGCGGTCACGTCATGATCGTCGGTATGACTCGCGGTCACGGCGCGATCCTCGGTATGACTCGCGATCACAGCTCGATCGTCAGCATGACTCCGCGGTCACGGCGCGATCGTCGTCATGACTCGCGGTTACGGCGCGATCGTCGTTATGACTCCGCGGTCACGGCGCGATCGTCGAAATGACTTCGTCTCCTGCGTTCGCGGACCTATCGCTCGCAATAACGGCGTTTTCGGCACTCGCGAAGCGGAAAAATCGCCGACGATTGGACCAAATCCCGTCCCGAAAAATTCCCGAGTCAAATGTAATCCCGTCCCGATAATCGGGAATATTTTTTTCCCAAAAAATTCCCGAAATTTCGGGACCCGTCCATCCCTGTACAGTGCTCGTGCATTGAATATTTCAGTGGCAAAGATAGGCTAAAAGTTGTATATAAATAGTTAAAAGATAAATTTTGTTGAATTGAGACTGTAGAAAAAATCACACTATTACCAGTGTACAGTAGAGTAGAGTAGACTCTCTCCTATCCGGACTCCTTGGGACCAAAGCTATTCCGGAAAACGTGTTTTCCTGTTAAACCGACTTCCTCTAAAACCATACTAACTTTTGCAATAGTGTACACGAAAAATTATTTGTTTATTTAGTTGAATGCACGTGGCCTCATGGTCTTTCCAATCACAAAACGTGGAATTTTATGAGTTCTAACCTAATATTTTATTTGTGAGGGCATTGTATTAGACACGTGATCACTGGTCTCAAATCTTTCCCACAAGTAAAGTCGTTTCAGTACCACCCAATTCCTGCCGATCCAGTCCGGTTAAATTGATGTGCTGATATATATTGGCCGATTAAAGAAACGTCACTTCTGCCGAGTGTAGTCCGGTCAAAAGGTGGCCCGATAAGAGGAAGTCTTCTGTAACTTGTGTTCTCATTTGATTTTTACGTACACATATGTATATGTGGGTCTATAACAAACAAACGTAGCTTACAAAGAAAATTCAAGGTTTCTTGTACTTGGTTAGTGAGAGTCGATTATATTTAAACTGTGAACAAGGCCTGTACATTATATTTCTACTGTAGGTAGTGAGGTGGATGATGACGATATGGATGATCAGCTGGTTCTGGATCACCAAGACAATGCTCCAGTCACGGAGGGCTTTCAGAGGATCAACCCGGACAGTCCGGACACGGGAACACCTTCCCAGGTAGGCGTCATCGCTCAGGCACTTTTGACTAGATGGATGATCAGAAATTTGGCTTTGAAAAATTACACTTTTAAACTAATTTTATTCTTAAAATCCCTAAACCTTGAAAGTTGCTGTTCATTGCAACTTTACTTGGGAAAATTCTTTCTGTCTTCATGTATGTTATTCCTTGTGCAATTTTAGTTGATTTTCATAACGTGCAACAGACTGGAAACTTCCAAAAACTTGATATTTTTACAGAACTAAGTTTTGTTACTAATCTTATACATACTAATGTTTATTAACATTTTAGTTGCTACTTTATCAATTGTGAAAATATGTCATAGCAAATATTTATTATTCCTTTATAATAATTTATATGAAACATGTTTTCCTTTCATGCTCCATTGGCAGCCACAACAGGTAAATAATGCAATATAATACTGTCGTACCGCTCTATTTTTTTTATCTCATCCATCTATACACTTAATACAATATAAGGGCTCTGTAACATCCCATTTTCGCCTGTGCTACTTGCTACTGATTTTTACGATTTAGGTGTAACTTTAAAACATATGATCTAGCGGAGGGACGGATGGTAACTAAGAAGGCAATTTCATTTAGGACTTTGCCTCTTTAGTATTTAATCTAGCTATTTCTAAAATTCACTTTCAAAGGTTCAGTGATAAAGACCAACTTTCTTTATGACCGTTTTAAATGTGAACGGTATTTTAATAACAGCTGATCCTTCATTTGCATTTGAATATTCATCCATAGTCGGATAGTAAACAAGAGTCAAAACAGTTTTAGTTTTCAGGAAAATGGATTTTAAATAGTATAGGCTACTTTCAGTAATACCTGTAACCTGTTTGAAGTAGTTAAATGCCTCTCTTTTATAGATCTACAATGAACAAATTTAATTTATTATAAATTGGTAGTTTATTCACCTAAACTGTCTTAGGTTCTCAGCCTAGGAGGATTCTCACACTTATTTAACTCTCAGAAATCAGAAACGTTTTATTGTCCTTCAACATTTACAACAAATGTAATAGACAAAAGTCAAGAAAATTCAGTTATTACATAAACAGCCTATTTTTAGGCAAAACAAAACAAGCCTAAAAACAAGTCAAAATAGGCTATACTAATACATATGCTTACAAATAAAAAAAGAATGTGGAAATGTGAGGACATTAAAAGTTTACTTCGTCAACCTTAAAATATTCTTCTATGTCATTAAAGGGATTTAAAAGTAACCAGTCCTGAGCTCTTTTTTTAAATGACTTAAGGTCCAATAGCATTGATACTAAGCTTATTAAATAATCTTAATGAAATAACATGGTAACTATTTTTACATTTACTTAACCTACGATAAGGCACGTCTAATGGTCGGGCCTTAACTGAGCGAAATGACCTGAGTCAGGTAGCCGGGGTGTCCTGAACTGAGCGAAGCACTTCAGGGGACCACCAGAGACGTTCCTTAACTGAGCGAAAATATGAATTCGTGTATATTTAGTCACTGCTGTGAGGTTAGGTTAGGTTGGGTTAGGATAGGTTAGGTTAGGTTGCATGGAAATTCCAAAATATGCACACCTGAGAGCTTACACTACATACCACGGGGTACTGCGTGCCGGAGCCAGGTGGTTGACCACCCCTGGTATGAGCGTGGGATATGATTCTACATAAACAAGAACATTCCTTGTCCCGACAACTCGCATATACCTGGACGGGCTTCGCTCAGTTAAGGAACATTTTTGGGGGCCATTCGAGGGCTTTCGCTCAGTTAAGGTAATCTTCACTCAGTTGATGCGAGACCCGTCTAATAGGAACTGATTACGTGTGTTGTGTGAATGGATATTAAACCTATAAACATGGGAACTAGTAATATATCAGACTAGCAATATATTTAGATATTTTACAGCATTGCATTGAATGTTTTTTTCTGTAACTAGGTTTTATAGACTGTAAAAATTGTGTTGTACTTTTAACAGGCTCAATCATTGTACATGCTGGAAAAGTCGTCAAAGAAAAAATTGATAATCAAGGATGGCAGGATAGTCGGTCGAATGAAAGCTCAAAGAAAAGACAAAGGAGTAAGTATTTCCTCTCACACAGAATTTTTTTTTCAAATGGTAAAAAATACGAACGCTGTTACTTTTTAGGAATATTTACTGATTTGCTTGTAAGAACAAATGATAACAACTTACACTTTAAATGTTCATGAATTACTTGTATTGAAAACTGTGATAATGAACAACTAATTTGATCAATAAAATACAATATTTGTAATTGAACCAGACATGAACAAGTTCATGAACGGTCAGATACATGTATCATACTAAAAGTATCGCGGAATCTGCTAATATTGTTACTTTTTAGGGATTTTGCATTCAGTCTTTTTAGCCACTTAAAAACCAGTAATGCCATCAGGTTTTAGAGAAGAATTCATGTAATCTTTTCCCGATTTTTCAGAAAACAAGATTTACGGCGTACATGTTGTGGGCGAAGGAGATACGCCAAGAGTTGATGCGAGCAAATCCTGATTTAGGTGAGAAAAAAATCCGTTTTGACGTTTGTATATAAAGGATTCCAAATAAAGGTTAATCGTCAGGAACCAAATAAATGTTTTTTATATGGCTAGTAGCCTATACGTGCAACTGTAAGTTTGGCGAGAGAGGAGTTAGGTCACTGATTTTTGAACATTTTTGAATCCAAGAAGAAAGAGAGAGAGAGAGAAATTCTTTATTTATAAATTATTTTGCAGCATTACATGAATCAAATAAAAATATCACATGGGTCACAACGACCTGTGCGTGATAAGAAGCGTTGGATTGGCCAACACCGTATGTTTGCCTTTAATGTGTGCATGCCAAATGGCCAGTCTATTATGGCAGAGTAGCGACTTTTTTAAATTTACTTTTAACTTGGACCCCATAATATCATTCCGTACAATTCTCAGGTAGGAATTCCCCAAGCACGATGAATCTTGAGGGAGAAATTTACCAGAAAGTAGCTTAACTAAACGCTATTAATGGTGACATGAGCTTCTGAAAATTTTAACTAAAGGATTGAAAACTGCATGGAAGAAAGTGGACTCTACCTGGCTGACATTGTTTTATAACAATGGATATATGAAAATTGTAGCCATTTTTAGTTAGTGATGTATTTGAAATATTTAGTAATACCAGTTAAAACTGGCACAAAAACAAATTAGTGATACTTTTTTTAAAAAGTCAGGTCTTTTTCGGTCATCCTTTATATTTAATGTGTGATAAAATTTACTAACAAAAATATATATTATTTCAGATTTTTCACAAACAAGCAAGAAACTAGGAGAATTGTGGGCTACTGTACCTTACAATGAAAAATATGTAAGTCAAGTCAATATGTCAGTTTATTTGGCTGAAATGCATAATTTAACTTCCTGTCATAAAAAAAAAAAATACTTTTACACTTACAGTAGACTCCCTCTTATCCGGACACCTTTTAACCGGACTACACTCGGCGGAAATGACATCTCTTTAACCGGACTAGATCGGCAGGAAGTGGGCGGTACTGAAACAACTGTTCTTGTGGGAAAGAATTTGAGACCAGTGATCTTGTGTCTAAATACAATGCTCTCCAAAATTTAAGTCAAATATCACAGTAAACAGTCCGTTTTAACGAGTTTTTGGGGACGTCGGTTTAACCGGAAAACCCGTTATCTGGACTGGCCTTGGTTCCGAGGAGTCCGGATAAGAGGGAGTCTACTGTACCTATGTAGCTTCTGGTTTTGCAGTTGAACAAATTTTAATAATTTAATATCAGTTTTGAGTAGGTCTAGGTATACGTGAGTGGAGTTTTTATGTTTTCAAAATGTTTCAAATCATGATCATATTACCAACTAAGAACCTCTTTAAGAAAGTACCATTAATTATCAGTCCAAGAAACAATAATTAACAACTGTGTCCAGAGTCGATCCTTCAGACAATGGTTGCTATGGGTTTTAACATGTTAAACCCCGATACAAGGTTACGGGAGGTTGTAGTAACATAACTTTTATACAGATCTGGAAGAGGAAAGCCAAGCGTCTGGCCAGCAAGGGTGGGAAGGAGGAGAAGGTCCCGACGATGGTGGTTGCGTCGCCCAAGAAGAGGTCACCCCCGGCTCGCAAGTTCATCAACAAACAGTCGGGAGCCTCAGCCAGCCAGGGAACAGCCGCGGCCACTGCATCATCTGACACACCCGTCAAGTGAGTCACCCGATACAAGCGAGTAGCGTTTTCTTAATTCTTGTGTCAAGTGTCTAAATAATTACTGAAGTATTGTTTCTATTACTATTGGGGTGAACAGCAGGATGGTTATACCACTCAATTTGATTTTTTCAGTTTTACATTGAAGACCAGTAAACATTTACTTCTTAAAGCCTCACCATGAAACTTTCAAAGTCTTTAGGAAGCAAAAGGCATTTTAAGGACATAAATATTCCAGAGTTACAATCTTTGATGTTTATTTATGACAAAAAGATTTACAGTTCCATTGACAAAAATACAGAAACCACCTGTAATTTTTTTGTGTGAATTAAAATGACTATATAGATCAGCTGGTTTGGTTGTACAGGGGAGGCAGATCGACGCTGGTCGCAGAGCCGGTGGTCGGGCCTGGGCTGTACAAGGTGATTGGAACGCAGCCTATTGATGTATCTGCCCACCTGCGACTACTGGGCGAGTCGCTCACTATCATTGGCGAACGGCTTAAAGAACATGAAGTAAGAGCACTTCTCATTTATCACCTAAGTGTTTTTTTATGTACTTTCTTACTTGTATTTTAGGTTACTTAACGATTATATTTTTGTGAACTCTTCTTTCCTTACGTTAGTCAATGTCCCCACTCAAGACGAATATTGTGTGTTTTGTGTGTATTCTGTGTGCTCTACGGTTTAATATTATTTCTTCTAAGGCAAGCTAGCCTAGATCCTTTCCTTGAAGAAAATTAACCAGTATTAAGGTTAGTTTGTGGAGAAAGAGCACATGACTTTGAAATAAATTAAGGGAGAAGCAATGGATACACAACAAACTTACCCAAGAAAACAATTTGGGCAGTAGACAGAACTCACAAAAACCTATCATGATCACAAGCTATAATTTTACTACTTCCCTGCGAAGAAGCCCCCTTTATTCATTCCATCACTTTGACTTGGAAACAATTTTGTGTTTTTGATAGAAATTAGCAAGTTAGATCAGCACAATCTGCTGTGGCTCACATCAACTGTGACGATTTTGATTAAACAACTGGTGACAACTTTAAAACATGGGATAGAATGTCTCGTTGAATCAATATTCAAAGGTAAAACCTCGATAACAACATTCGTGGGGATTATGAAATAAGACTTGTTATCAAGGTTGACTTCTTATCGTGATCGAGGTTTGCAATTTCATGTCATTAGAGGTAAAATAAGTTTTAGGGGATTTGAAGATGACCCTTGTTATCAAGGGTGACTTGTTATTGAGTAACACGATAACACTGTAGAAATATATTTCCATAATTTTGTCCAGGGTCAAATTGCTGTTTCCGGCAGTCTCTCTGTTTTGCTGGACTCCCTGCTCTGCGCTCTCGGACCTCTGCTGTGCCTAACCCAGCAAGTACCTGCCATCAGCTCTGGGTGCTCCCCAGAAACCCTCTCTAAGATACTCGACAACATCGCATACATCATGCCTGGATTGTAGACAGTAACTGAGTGTGTGGTAAATAAATGTAATTTATGTAAATTGCGTTTGTTACTAAACCAGCATATGGTCATGAAAACATTAACCTACTTAATTAATTTTAGGATTAGTTTTGATTATGATGGAATAAAGATGGTTGATATTGGTGCCCAACTTGGTCTGATAGGATGGAAGTTTCAGTTGCCAAGGATAAAAAAAATATTTAAAAGAATAGGATAAATTAATCTTAGTTATGTAGGTACTCTATTAAAATTGGCCAAGTTTAAGACTAAGAGCTGAAACTCGAAATATTGCTCAATTAAAATATTCAGTTGAATTGTGAGTACAATACTGTTCTAAAAAGTCAGTTCTTTAGCTGACAGCTTTTAGAATGCCTACAAAAATACACACATCTTCACACATAATGCTATTCAATATTCAATCTTAGTTTTGTTTTATTTGTTAAAACAACCTTTTATAAACCTCACTTAAATCATTGAATTAAGATGTTTGAGAATTTAAATAAAATTGAGGTTGGACATCATTGTTTAATTTAAAGAAAAATCACACTGCGATATCTATCAGACGATCTTGAGGGCTTAGTACATATTGTTTTGTGCTATTCCATTGTTTAAATATACTTTATATTTATACACAGTATACTGTTTTATCCGATGATGTTTTTTGGCTGGATTGGACCTGTAAAAAGAATTTGCATCATTAGTAACACTTAAATAGACAAACACATTAAGTTAGAATGAACCGATGGACAACTAAGTTATCTAAGAAAAGAGTTTCATGTAGTTGAAAGCACACAACAAGTTTACAACACTATTTTCTTGATATTTCGTTTCTACAAGGGCTCCTTCAGAAGGTAAAGTTAAACTTAGACAAATAAAATAGTTACTACAATTTTTTATTTAAATTGGGGGCTACGGGCTAGTAGAGTCCAGAACTGTTTGGAAAACGTGTCCATTAATCTTATGTTTAACTTCAGATTTCAGGTTTTTTAGTTCGGACAACGGTATGGTTCTGAGAAACGAACACAAGGTAGTCCACTCTTTTAACTATCACAATGAGCTATGGTAACTTTCCAGATACAAGAAAATGGGAAAGCTCATTAGCTTAGCATTTAAATTGTAATCCTAATACTATACAAAATGTCTAGAATAAAAGGGACGAAGGGAGTAAACTTTACTAAACTTTATCAGTGTATTTGTGCGGTGTAATTATAATATAAAAGAGGAAAAAATCAAGGGTTTTGATATAAAAGAGGTTTATTTTACGAGAGAAAAAAATGAGTTCATGTATTAGAGGTGATTCGGGATGAATGAATACAACAATGGAGATTTACATCATTATGATCATGGGATGAGAATTACAGGTAGACTGTTTGGAACAAAGACGTTTAAATTAATACTAAAACAAAAGACAACTTGACTGGACAGTATTTAACAGATGAAGTTTAGATTTAGGATAGAACACACTACGGTTAAAAATCTTAAATTATCTTTTGCTGTTTTGTATAGTCTTAAAAATATTTTGACTTTACTCACGTCTTAGAGATGGCATCTAGCGACTTCTGTGAGTTTGCCTTTAATTGCTGAATTTTCTTTTCTAATCCGTGAAAGATGGAATCTGCAGATTTATATCGTAATTGAAGTGATTGAAAAATGAAAATGAAATTCAATACATTGTATATTTAAATAATAAATTATACAAATCATGACTATTTAAAAATAAAGTATACCATAACTATATAGCACAACATAAAAAAAATCTCATAAGATTATAAGGAAAATGTTGAAATAGGCAGGGTTAGGGGTGAAATAGGTGTCGACATAGGGTTACCATAATGGACAGTAGAGATCGATAAGAAAATAGTATGAATAAGTCATAAGTATTTTATTGCATGAAACATTCTTAATTACAAAGGCAATTGGTGAACAGATGCATGGTCAATCAATAAGTTATAAAAACTAAAACTAAAAAGTTACAACAAAATACAACAAGAACAGGACAATTGAGAGAAAGTTACCGATTTAAAGAAGTAAGAAAAAAGAAAAATTTAAATGAAGATCTTGAAGCAATATCAGAGGAAAAAACAATTAAAAACATTCTGTCAATAGCCTAAAGGCTATCATCATGATATAATAAGTTGAGCAATATTGTATTTTAAATTGCTTGACTTATTTTTAAAAATCAATAAATACATTTTTTGAAATCTTTACAAAAATGATATTTTTTAAATTGTAAATCGAAACTGGACAAATTTTTCTTAGAAATGGCATTGAATTCAAGGGATATTTTCCCAAAATAATGTTTGGAGATAAATTAAAAACTTTTTGGACCAAACTACCGGTTCACTACAGGCTGTCACATCCCTGTGTATATGTAGTAGTCACTAGCGTCTCAGGGGTCTTGGTCAAAAACCGATGACAACCTCTTTTGCAAAGGAGTGGGGGATTGTGGGAGAGCCCCTCATGTCGATTTAAAAAAAAATTATAAAATTAATTTTTTAATTATAAAATTAAACTGTCATAACCTAACCTAACCAACCACACTTGCTGAAAATATGAAAAAGATATAAGATAAAAATTGAATGATGGTTTACTAATTGAAAAAATATTTTTGTTCATAAAATAAAATTATAAATGTCTCAAATTCTAACAAAAGATGTACAGTTAAGAAGTAATCACATTCTAAGCAAAACCTTTGACAAAAAGTTAGTGTCACTGGTGGAGTTCCAGCTGGTAACCTCATGGACATCAGTTGAGTACTCTATCCACTATCGTCACGGTAAGGGTGCTGGTGTGGGATTGATTGTAGGTTGGGTGTTGGATGGGGTGATCAGGGGGCCGTCTGCTTCTGGAGATTTCCTTTCTTTTCTACCCTGTTTCTCGCTCTCCTTCAACCTCCCTCCCTTCTCACCACCAGCTTCGGGCCGGTGCGGTTCCTTGTAGGGAGCAAGAGAGTTGCTCGGTTGTGAGGAAAAGAGGAACCACAAAGGTTATACACCAGATTGAAAGGAATGAGAAAATTCAATTGCTTCTGAAAAAGGGGAGTTGCCCTCACAGGAGGAGAATTATCCATGGAAAGGGATAAATGATTGTCCATGATGAATGAGAATTATCAAAGAAAAATATGATTTGTCCAGAGAAAGTAGAATTACATGAGTCTGAGAAACTAGCCAAGAGAAAGAAGTAACTCTGAAATGACTTTCATGGATGAACTGACAACTGCTTAAGAGTATGATGCTATCGTAGTTCTATTCAGTACTTAATACAGATTACCGTTTGTTAATTGATGAAAAACTTACATTTACGTGCTGGACTTGAAAGCACTGTAGGTTTCTCACTAAAGCGGTCATTCGCAGTATTTTGATGGTACGTAGCACTTCTTACCCAGTCCTATATGAAACAAAACCATAACACCATGCTTTACTACTTTTAATTCGGGTTTCGTATTCAATTTGTAATCTTGTGGAGCTCAAACAGGTTTACCAATTTGCAGCACTCATGTATTACTGCTGTTTAGGTAAACAAAAGCTCTAGCAATTGATAGCACACAGTAAATTCACAACACATTCAACTTAAATTTTGTTCCTCTAAGGGGGCTCTTTCGGAGCAATGTCCCTTGGAATAAGGAATTTAAATAATACAATGCATAAAAGGTTCTTTAAACAGCTGACGTTGCAGCAATATACCTAGTAACAGGTGAACAATTTTTAACTGGAGAATGGAGGACTAACCACATGCAATCTAAACTAGATACATCAAAATATATATTGCTGTATCATTTTTATTTACTGTAAATTTTGTCGTTAACACAAAAAGTTAATAAAGCAATGCCTTATGAGTATTTAATCATTTTTAAATGGTTGACATCGTAAAGTTGTTTATACCTGTGTAGGTATTATTTGTACCTCGGCTGCCGAGCTGTATCATTGTCAAATAAGTGGGAGACAATTTCCGTAGTTTTAATTTTAATAAGCACCCCTCCCCCAAACAGCTCCCAAATACACCGTTAACCTACGTAAAGGTAAAGGTAGATTGTGCTCCCAAACATTCCCTGTTTGTCTTTGCATTGTATACTCTATTGTAAAAATACTACTCACATTACATTTATAATTTTAATTTTATACTTGGTTAAACGAATTATTTTTAAAAATGTAAATGTAATGATGGGATTTTAGTGGAAAGTTAAGGGAGCTGGTTACTTTTCCTAATAACTTCAATTACTTTTAAATGAAATTGTCAACGTTATCCATAGGTCGTCGTCCATAGGTATTGAAATTACTTCACTGCAAGATAACTTACCGATATATGTTGAAGCTTTCCCATTTTTTCTTGCACAATATGTTTGACTGATGCTGCTATGATGCTTCGGTTGTGATGGTTTATTTTTTCTTGCTGAATCTATAGCAAAGTAAATCCTAAGTTCTTACAAATTCGTGTTGGATTAAAAAAAAAGTTCCTTGTAATTATAGGATGGTAAATACGATACTTTTATCAACCAATGAAATGTACTTACTGCACAAACACAAAAACGCATAAATTGTTTCAGTTAAATAATTATTTTCCTACGCCAGTGGAATTTTAGTTAAAGTTAACATGAGATTAAACGCTTTTAAGGGAAAGCGTTTCAAACCCATTTAAGTTTTTGGATATCCTGGGATTCAAACCCGTCCCTTCTGCATCGAAGTCCGAGACACCAACAATTTAACTGACATTCTGACAAGCTGAATGTAATGATTAATTGTGGTCAAACAGAAAACACAGCATTTAACAACATTAATAAGTAAATTTAATGTGTAACTTACCTGCTTTACAAGATTTTGATATTGTTCTAAATTAAAACTACTTTTTTCACTTGGGGTTTTCACTAGCCTATTTTTTCAGTTGTTTTGTTATTTTCTTCTGCTCCTTTCTGTGATCTCTGAAATAATACAAATGCTTCTACATATCCCAAATGAATTACCAACAATCTGTGAATACCTGGGATTGTCTTCATGACTCATAATGCCGATAAAATGAGGAAAATTCAGACCTGTTTATTTACTATAAAACAATTGTATGTCTATTTGAGCCTTCAAATGTGATGTAGATATTTCTCAGTCTGTGTGTACAAAAATTACAACACACGTACTAGCTTTTAAGCAACAAGTATTTTTGTACTTCTCAAGATTCTTAAGAAACCAATAAGGATTTTATTAGTTAAAAATTGAAAACATTTTACCATAGAAAAAATAAACACTACTTCATCTACAATTAATTTTATCTTCATGTTGTAATCCCACCCATCTTACAGTAGGTAGTGTATCAAAACAAAATCAATAGACATGGTTTAGCCCCTGAGCTGGATTGATGACTAATATAATATAAATACCTCGTCACAGCTCTGTAGTTACTGTAGATTACAGCTGTTTCGGCATTAAAATGCCATCATCAGATACACATACATCCACCTGAATTGGCGTCGTTAAACTGTACATATACACGAACACGATAAAAACACAAAAACACGTAAAACAAGAGACAGGCCTGTCGCGTACATGATTGCTACGAGTACGGAAGCTGACTGCAGCAGCTTCCGTACTCGTAGCAATCATGTACGCGACAGGCCTGTCTCTTGTTTTACGTGTTTTTGTGTTTTTATCGTGTTCGTGTATATGTACAGTTTAACGACGCCAATTCAGGTGGATGTATGTGTATCTGATGATGGCATTTTAATGCCGAAACAGCTGTAATCTACAGTAACTACAGAGCTGTGACGAGGTATTTATATTATATTAGTCAAAACAAAATGTCTCCACACGCATCATAAGCATAGACGATCATGTTGTAATCTTAAATAATTGATCATAATCATTGTTTGGAGAGAGACATCATATTTTGACAGGTTATGAATAAGACAATTAATTATCTGCCTCAAGACTTACTTGAAGACTGACTGTGGGACAGTTTAGTACTTGTTTTGACTCCTATCATTGTCTATATGGGTGCTAAATATTAAACTGTACTCACATTAATAACGAAAGTGAATAATATAGCAAACACTGCTAACACAAATTGTGCAAATAACTGTTCATAATCCATTGTTCTGTATGTGAAATCTGAAAAAGTAAAACATTTCTAAAAATTATAATTTTACTATTATTTAGATAGGTATTGTAAAAAAAAAATCAAAAATAGAAGAGAATATAATATTTTTATACAGTATAGATAATCCATTTAAAAGCTGGAATACCGGTATCTTGAAATACAACGGACACATTACCGGTAACTTAAAATTCAAAGGAACAATATTAAACCTAATAATTAAAAACAATTGCATTCATATGAACAAACATTGCTTGGAAGGTACTCTCTAGAACTGATAAATTAATTTATTATTAAAAACTTAAACCTTTTAACGTAAGTACAATGACAGGGAAATTAAATGACTTCTGTTTGTCTTTTGAAAACAAACTTTGAATGTTCAGTTATGTTTTAATACATTTTCATAACTTCAATTGATAATTAAGAATTTTAGGAATTGTTAAATTTCTCACCTTAGTAAATTAATGGTAACACTTGAGTAGAATTAATTTAACCAACTACAAATTTTGAATCATTGTCATTGTATTTTATTTGTTTGTTTTACTGAATAATATTTATCTTTTGATCCATTTCATCAATACATTTGGTCAACCATATGATACTCTTGTTCAATGGTCAGTATACAGATAGTTACAGGGATTGAGAAATTGTACCTATTAGGTAATGTGTACTTATTGGTCATTAGCAAATTTCCCATACCGTTTAGAAAATTAAGCTACAACCTTAGATCTCATAGTAAAGCCCCCCAAACACTACCAGACCAGACCTCCAGACCAGACCGTCTGGCTGAAACCATACCGTCTTGGACGGCTCTACACACTCCCAGACCAGACACTCCAACATTGGTAATTGATACACCGTGGTGAGAACGCCAAAAAATGGATGAAGACTGTCTTGACGTCTTTACTACCAGACCAGACCGTCTGGTCTGGCGTCTGGCACTTGTCTTATCGTGTGTGGGGCTGTCTGCAGACCGATTTTCTCGGACCAGACTGTCTGCGTGTCTGATGGTTGAACCCTCAGACCACAGACGGTCTGAGGTTCCCCCACCACTATTTTTGTCTGGTCTGTGAGTGTGTAGCGCTGTCTGTCAGACGGCCGACCATCGTGACAATCTTCATCCATTTGTTGGAGTTCTCACCACGGTGTCTCAATTACGAATTAGGACCGTCTGGTCTGGGAGTGTGTAGAGCCGTCCAAGACGGTCTGGTTGCAGCCAGACGGTCTGGTCTGGAGGTCTGGTCTGGTAGTGTGTGGGGGGCTTTACAGACAGCGCTACACGCTCACAGACCAGACAAAAATACTGGCGGGGAACCTCAGACCGTCTGTGGTCTGAGGGTTCAACCATCAGACACGCAGACAGTCTGGTCCGAGAAAATCGGTCTGCAGACAGACCCACACACGATAAGACAAGTATTTTATGTAGTAGAAATTATGTTTTCTCATTTTTTATCCCCGAAACTGAGCAGTTTTGTTTCCAAACCATAAGTATTTATTGCATTCAGATAGTTGAAAACACTTAAATTTGTACTGGAGGTACTGATGAATTAAAATCAAATTGAAAACAGCAATTTACACTAATAGGCTAAATAAATGCATTGCTTACCTAGTTTGACAAGTTTTTTATCTTGATCACATTAAGATATGGTAACTTTTTCACTTGGACTTATTAGGCTACTCTCTCTTCAGTTATTTCAGTTATTTTTATTTTCTTCTGCCCGTTTCTCTCAGCTCTAAAATAATACAAATAATGCTTCTACATATCCCAAATGAATTATTGTCAATCTGTGCTAGGTACTTGTAATTTAATTACTTCATGATTCATATGCCAATAAAATCAGAAACAGATCCATTTAATTACTTAAAAACACTGAATGTCTACTTGAGTCAAGAATTATTCAATTAGCCTACTTAAAGACTGATTGTGGGACAGTGTCATAGTATTGCATTTGTTTTGATTCCCAATCATTGTCAATATAGGTGCTAAATATTAAACTACTTACATTAATAACAAAATTGAATAATATAGCAAACACAGCTCTAACACATATTGTGCAAACAACTGTTCATAATCCATTGTTCTGTAAGTGAAATCTGAAACAGCAAAACATTTTTAAATATGATAATTTTGTTATATTCAGTGATATACATAGTATGAAGAACAATCAGTTTTTGTTAAAATGTTTAAGTTTAAGTTTGGGGTGGATACATCTGTTTTTTCCATCGAAGTATATAGGCCTACTTCGATGGTTTTTGGCCTTTGGGTCCCCCTGAACCTGAAAAAGGGGTTTTCGAAGTAATGTGTGTGGATGTGTACAGAGCTACAGTCGTCACATCATTGCCATGTATTAAAACCCATTAAATACCGGTAACGGAAAAGATGTTTTCTTAAAAAAGGGCTTGACTGATTTTGATTGGATTTTAGTATGTTATAGTCATTTAATAGTATGTTATAGTCATCTTAACTGTAAGAAAAATGCTACAGCCCCCATTGCTGTAAAATTTACAGTTCAAAAGTTATTGTAACTTTTGTGATTTTCCACATAAAATATTATAGTTACTTCCACCGTTTAACCATGACCATGATAGGGGTTGTTGACGAGTTAATTAGAGAAAGCATGTGTGGGATTACTGATACTGTCTATTTTTATAATGTTTTCTACTCTTAAGTGAATGGTAAAATGTAAATTTGCCCAATCAAAGATGCATCTAACAAGAGAAGTTCATACATCCTATCAAAATCCACTTGTTACTTTTAGCTTCTGTGTGTCTGTTGAGAACCAACTTTGAATAACTCATTAAATTTTATGGTAAACTGAAATTAATTGATAAGTCAAAGTAAGAATTTCAGGAGTAAGTTAAAATGCTAATTGATGCTATATTAGAACAATGTATACTACTTACCTTGGTAAATTAATGTAACATTTGAGAAGAATAAACAACTAAAAATTTTGAATCTTTGTCATTATAGTTTATATTTATTTGTTTTACTAAACAATATTTATATTTTGACTCATTCCATGCAGATATATATTTGGTGAACCATATGATTATAATCATGTTCAATTGTCAGTATGCAGATAGTAACAGGCTGAAAGGAAAAAATAATTACTAATGAAAATAGACAATGACGTATGCCTTAAAAAATAAGGTTGCCAATGACACAGAAAAATATACACTTAAAATTTTAAATGGTTATAGTAACAGCTATAAGACTGATTAATTTTTATGTTTGCCATGTAAATGATTTCTTTTGCCAATGAACCTCTTATGCCTGCAGTACACTATCGTCCACTGTAGGCGAACTAAGACGAGCGCGATAGTGTACTCGGTGTGCTCGTGTACATTCGGGGTAGTTCACATCGCCAAAATTTGTGTTCGATGTTCGGGTGCGCTCGCTAGGTTTAGTACACTATCGCCGAACATTCGCCCGAATGTTTCCCGGAATGTTCGGGTCAGATTACAACCGCGAATGTTGACGAGTGTGCAACCCGAACCATCCCAAACTAACCAAGTACACTATCGGCTAACTTCGGCCGAACTGTGCCAAACCCAATATTGCGTATTCGTAGCAAAACATTCGCACCAAACTTTGTAGCCTACAACATGGACGCTAGCGTCGAAGACTATTCTAGAAAATTCTAAAGTAAATTCTATAATTTCCGTTTGGTGTTAGACACCACTTGAATGTATCCTATATATGTTTCTTCTCTGTGGCTTAATAATTTAAAATTAATGTTTTTTTTTATTAAAATGTCTGTTTTTTAAGCGATACTTTATACAGAGTGATCAACTCAAGGAGGCCACCACTGAAATTTCAGAAACGGTAAGAAGAGAAAACTTTGAATGGGTGACATTCCTTTATTTTTGTGGCAATTAAAAATATGAATTTAGGTTTTTTTTAAAATTCAGCCACAATTTTCCAATATGGTGGCCAACTTTGAAATTTCTTATGGAACACCCTATATTTTATAATGTTTTCGGATAGACCATGCAATTTAAAAACTTTAAAGTTCTTGATTTTTTTTTCATAAACCCACTCGTTTAGGAGTTTACAGCCTATGAAAAAAGGCTTCCGGTGTACATGAATGAATGATCTATTAAATTAATTTGCTACAAAGTACAATTAATGTTTACATTTTTTTTTACTATAATATTAAGTTTACAACATAAAATAATCAAGAACAGAAAAAAATTAACAAAGTTGTGAACTTAATGTTGAATTATGCAAAAACTAGCAAAACGAACATAATAAACTTATAATTTTGTAGCTAATTATAATTAATTGGTCTTGTGGAGTCAGCAGACATAGACGAACTCTGCCTATGTGCGTCTGCTGGGTTGCATAGTCTAAATTTGTTGATTGGGAATCAAACGGAGATTGAATACAAAACGGGTAAAAAGATTTTCTTCAATTTTTCTTGAGGATGAATGATATGCAATTGACATGAAATGAGTGATAGATAATTTCTGTGGGAGCAAATTACAGTTGTGTCCATACAGTTGTGACGGCCAGGAGCTGTGCACATTTTGCATCAAGTAGCTCAGCTCCACCCACACTCGACTAAACTTTAACCTGGGGCCCTATTTTTGAAATGGTTGACAGTTGAGTCAATCGTCAGCACTCAACTCAACCAACAACATGATTTGGTATTTTTGAAACCCAACAGTTGGGAAGCGAGTTGGGAATCACTAGTTGAGAGACTCGTGGTGGAAATGTAGAGCATACGACCGTCAAAAATTCAGATGACGTCATTTTGAACCAATCACAATGCAGAGTTCTTGCGGACTTCGATTTAACCTCTTCTTACTCTAAAATCTGGCAGCTAATCTCAATCCAATCTGCCATATTTCGAGACACTGAGGTAAACTGTCAACTCCGTTCTTGAGAGATTGAGGTTATAATGGGTTATGTCTTGCTTAATTTAATCTTAGTGATTGCAAAGTACCTTAACTTATATAGGCTAAACTTAAGTATTAAAAATAAAATTTACTATGGATGTTTGTTTTAGGGTGTAGCTAATTATAAGTTTAGGCATAGGCTGCACTTTACTTTAGGTCCTACACTCATCCTAAATACATTATTAATTGCTTTCTTCGTCTCTATTTCGGAACACATCACCTTATTTTAGTTTCCTTCATCGGTTTGTTTTATGTTATTTTTAATTGTTTTTTATTTAGGTTAAAGCGGCCATTTGCCATTGCACTGGAAGCATATCGTAACTTAAATTAATTTGATCCCTTTATTAGGTGAATGGTATTGAAACAAACTATGATATTGTTTCTCTCTACCACAATCTTTAATACCTTAAATCATAGGTCTAATAACAATAATTATCTTATAATAAGTTCAATTAGTATGCCTAGTCTATTTCAAACATTCCAACAAGATTAAAACCCTTGATTAAATAGTCTAGTATTGACACAGTAAATAAAATTAAAATGCGATTATTCTACAGAAAACAATCGCATAATTGGGTGCTAATACATTGACAACAAATACATAACCTCTAAATCGCAATTAGTAAATTAAAGCAATAACAAAACAATATGGCGTCGTCTCAAAAAGAGTAATTTTTTGCCGAAAGAGAGGAAGAAGAAAGTGCAGTCAACCTCCACTCAACAGCTCGATAGGTGTTGAGTAGTTTTGGTTGTATAAGTCCACCGTCAACCGTTTCAAAAATACGAAACGATTGGAAATAGAATGACTCGACACTCAACTCAACAGTCAACCATTTCAAAAATAGGGCCCCTGGTGCATTAGGTGTTTGTTGCCATAGCTCTTTTGAGCTACTCTACTTTTTTTAGCTCTCTAGTACTTTTGTATACTCTCGTGAATTTTGTACAATTTGTTTGCTAATTTACCAAAAGGACATTCCTAGAATATCCCGTAATATGAATAAATTTAAATTTTATTTTTAATGTTTGATTAAACCTAAATATTTACTGTAAACAATAATTATTCACCAAATAAACTATAAACTCCTCATGGCATAACGGCAAACGATTATAAATCAGAGTTCTTACAGCTACATGAGTGAAATATTATAGCTTGCCCTGAGCGACCGAGAGAGAAAACATTAAAAAAATCACAACAAAATATTTTCCTTCTTTTAGCTTAACGCCTGATATCCATCCACATTACAATTTGAGGTTAGTTTCTCTGTCATTTACAATAAGTAATCAAATCATTTAAATTTAATGGTAAACATATATTTCAATAAATCCACGAAAAGAATAAATAATTAATTTGGTATGGTCTTGAAAACCAACTTTGAACTCTCTGAATTTAATTAGACAATAAGTTGAATGAAGTCTTCATTGTTTTGACATTAACATAATGTATTTGCTCTAAAAATGATGATATCGAGTCCCGTGATTGTAACAGTAAAATTTTGATCTGAAAAGAGAGGTTTTGAGGTTTAACCTTCCCAGAATATTTAATATAGGCCTATGCCATAATTGAGGCGTACTAGGCCTAGGCCTATCTGAAATGAGGTTTAGTTAAAACCTTGTAAACCTTGGTTATAGGAAAAGAGGTTGTTTGTAACAATTTGTTTGCCTCTAAGCTCTTCTATTTATTGCCATGTCTACACTTTCCCAAGTCTTATTACTCGATTAAGTTACTTTATTTTTTTTTAGACCTTAAGTTATGCTCTCAAGTAAGTTACTGGTAAATGTATATACTTCTCTCATCAATAGGCCTACTTTGCTTTGAATTTCAAGTTGGCAAATAAAGAGCTTACTGTAAATAGTTTGTTTGATTACTAAACTTATCACCTAAAGTTATAGGTACTTACTTACCGTACTTGTTACTTGCGGTGTCTTCACCAAGATCCTTTGATCAGGGAATTGTCAGTCACCCACCATCACTTTCCCACTCAAGGTTTTGGCTACGGCTACGGGCCACCATTACAACTATTTACCAGCACTAACATAATCTAGCTTACTGTTGGAGTATAGTCACAGGACTGATCTGAGACTTGCCCTATTTTAAATTATATTAGCATTTGCATAAACTCTCATCACTTTAAAACCGGTTTGGGCTGCACTTTACTTTACGTCCTACACTCATTCAAATGAAACAACCGAATGAAAATATCGGTTTATCGAGAGTTTCATTCGATATAACTTATCGATCGATATTTTCATTCGAATGAGTGTAGGACGTAAAGTAAAGTGTAGCCCCGGTTTGTTAAAGTCCACTTTCTAAGTGGAGAGACAAATTCCACATTATAAGCCTAAACTTACTGATATTGTTGGATCTGGAGTAAAAAAATGTTACTCGAAACATGTTACAGTTTCAGCCGTATCACTTCTACAAGCCCTTGGCATCTTCTGGTACTAAATCAAGTTTTAAGTTTAATATAATTTAAAACCTTAACACATTTATTTATGAGTTTCTAAATTGAGAATATTTTTTCTGCTGTCAGCATTGAAAATAGCCTATATGTAAGCAGTGGTGTGTAAAAAAATTTATCATAGTTTCAGATTATCACATTAAAATGGCAAAAAGTTTAAGAAGCAAATGGAAGCGGAAAATGAGATCTGCCAAAAGAGAAAGATATGGCGAAAAAGAACTGCAAAGATTAAAAACTATGCTCGGCATTAATCCAACTGATGTTGAAATGAAAGATGAAGCTCTAGACGATATTGTTATTGGTAAGTATTAAATTGAGTTTTTTTTAGTGCTCAGTGGAAATAACTCCTGGTTAAGCTAAAGAATGTTTACACTGATATGAATCTATGTACTATTATTAGTAGGCCCTAAATACAACTTATTTATATTTAACAAATTTCCATTTTATAACCTCTGCGCTACAAAACTAGTGTAGGCCTAGAAACTTAAATCACTGTTACTGCTACAGTAGGCTAACTGCTGTATCTTGCTGTTAAATAAATAAATACCGGGAAATAAATAAATAAATAAAAATGTCTTTATTAGCCAGCGTTTCTCTGATACATATAAGTTTTTCAGAACAACTTTTGTCATTAAACTACTTTACTTACAACTAAACATTTATATATTTTATAAACGTTTTAAACTTAATCTTAAAGGTATTGTTGGATGCAACGGTTTTTAGGCTCTTGGGTAGTCCGTTGTACAATGTGGGTCCAAAATATGAGAAACTTTTCATTCCCAATTCCAAGGTGACCCTTGGAAAGTGAAACATCCCACCATGATGTGTCCTATTCTAAACTTTAACTGGAACTGAACCCTGTTTGGATTAGCGGGATTTTGGAACCAGCGGTATTCTGTAATAGCATTAACTGTGAAAGGTAATGTAATAGGTAATATTTAACATATCGTCAGCTTAATCTTCGCGATCGCGGTAGATGTTTGTGTACTTAAGCTGTTGGTACAAAACTGCCTTTATGGCTGTGATCTCAGGAGACGGTGAGCAACAAAATCCCTCCGCTAAGGCTTTCGAAAGAAATTAGAAAAGAAGATCTTCAATCAATTTGTCCAAATGTAGATGTAGCATTAAGGATATTTGAAAGCACAGCTATATGAAAGTGCTCACCAGAAAGATCGTTTTCATGCCTTGAAAGGCCAACATATTATTTAAGAAGCCGATCTTCTGCAGAAATACTTAGTTAACTAGCAGTCTTGAATAGCCTATTGAAGAACTAACTGCTGAACTCCCTGGACTTAACTTATTGATTTATTTTTTAGGTTTCAATCAAGGAGAAAAGTGTGAACTAGGCTACTAACTTAACTCATTCAAAATTGTATGTTATTCTTTAAAGTAGGATCTCTCGTGGATATATAATGCTTCTAATGCTTTTAATTGAACACTTTTAGTCAGATCCACTTACTTTTTTATATCAATAATTTTTTTTTTCATTCATTTAGTTTTAAAATATAACAGTTTTGTAAATAAAAGTATTTGTGATTGTATAATCTATCTGACTAAAAGTGTTCAATGAAAAGCGTTATTAAGAACCCTTGTATACATACGTTTTTTTTGCTGTTTACGCGCTGCAAAACACAATTATGACTCTTCTGATTGGATACAACAACATTGCATTCCATATATTAAAAACAGAATCGCACTTTGCATGAATACAGGGAAACAAAAATGTCTGTAAAAGAGGGTTAAAATTTTAAGATTTGTTGATGCAGCATGCAATTGCCCAGTACTTTTCTACAAAAAAAACCTGGCAGGTCATGTATTGGTGTAATCTTATTGTGGTCGGTGAGCGCGCTGATGAGGGTGGGGGAAGGGCGGCTAACTTCGCTGCCTAGAGGCGGCAGATAGTAAAATACGTCCCTGGTCTATCTTCATTGTAAACCAGCAGGTTTTAACATGATGAAATGTTTAATCTTCAATCAACTGTCAAAGCTGTTGGTTAACTTGTACCAATATAAGTTGTGGTTTTCAGTAAGGGATGCAACTGAGTTGAAAAATGAAGTGGCAGCCAAAGAAAAGGAGGATTCAGACGTGATTGAGATCAAAGATGTAACTGAGCCGATGGAAGATGGCAGAAGAGTTTACGACAAGAAGACAATGAGGGATCAACACGGAAACTACCCTGTGTGGATGAGCTCGAGGAAAGTGAAAAAAGTGGCTAAGAGGAATAAGGTGGTCAAAAAAGAAATAAAGAAGAAACAAAAAAAGCGTGGGAAAGGAAAGTGTAAATAAAAAATATTTTTACAACTTTTTTGTTATATATTTTGACTTATCCTTTTCAAGTTCAGCATAATATTTGCTGGAATACTGTTTTGCACACTTTTTGTTTATCTCTAATAATGTCTGAAATTAGGCCTTTACTTAAAAGTGCATAATAGTTTTTGTATTCAGAACGGTTTTTGTTAGATGTTGTTATAAAACCAGTCACTTCAGTAAAAAGCGATTTGTACATACTTTGTGTACTACTTTAAATCAAACTAATAGAAAGCCGAGTGAGTGTAGTTGGACTTAAAAATCATATTCCTAAATATGATGGGCACAGGGTCATACTCCATTGTGAACGTTGTAGTACATGATGTCGAGGGGTTGGTGTTGGAGTTTGCCCTAGACACCAGGGACTACTGCTAGACACCACTTAAGTGTACCATTGAATGTTGCCTCTGTACTTTAATTCCCTGTGATTGAGCTTAAAATATTAGTGTTCAATATTACATGGCTTATAAAAAATTTGTAAATATTTTACAGTTGAATGTTTGCTTCTATAATTATTTGGCTCACAGAATAATCATCAATAACTAAGGCAAAGATAGGCTTCTTGAAGGTATTAATAAATCAACAACTTGTTATTAAAAAAAATGTATTATATAAATGTACAAAAAGCACCAGTCAGTGAGGCAGTGTTCGTTGGATGAGATCTCTAAGGTGTGCTTCAGGGGTACGGCCTCGGATAGAAGTGGTCCTTACATTTACCTGTAACAAATGTTCGAAAAATGTAAAGAGTGTGAGGAAATAGTTATTTGTGCAACTAGTGAGAAAAGTGAGCAATTGACTCACTCGAGAAAAATCCTTACTCACGAGCCGTAGGCGAGTGAGGAATGGTTTCTCGAGTGAGGCAATTGTACTTTGAACACGAGTTGCACATTATACTTTTCCTACAGTTACCATAAAACAAATAAATTTGTGAAGAAACATAACCTATTTTTACACAGAAGTGAACTTTTAATATAACATTTAATGTGAAGTGACAAATACAACAGTACAACAGCTGACCAGCTGATTTACAGCCAGTGCTGCCAATGTATTTCGCGCGCATATGACGTTGCCTGCATGTTACGCGCTCACTATTTCGTGCCTTCACGTTGCAAATCTGGAGTGAGACAAAGTAATTAGAGTGAGACAATGTTAACATTGTCTCACTGGTGAGCAAATTGGCCACTTTGCTTTCTCAAATCAGTGAGAGAACATGTACATTGTTAGGTAACTGTAGGAAAAATACATTTTCTGTTCACTAAAAATTGTAGTTTCAATCAGATGCAATTTCATCGCATTAGTAACCACTCAAACACCACAACATTCCTCCAATAGCAACTTTTATTTATGTGACGTAATAACTTAAACATTATAACAATAGGTTTATATTATTGAATCTTTAAAACAAAAACAAAAATACTTCAAAGAATCTAGTACAGTAACTAACCCAGGACTGTCGTTGGATGTACAGTACTTGGCGATGTAAAGTGTGTCGATTGTGTTACTAACAACTCTGAAATGACATTCTTTGTAACATTAGATACTAGTAAAATCATAAACGCTAGTTGCCAAAAATTGAAATTGTGATGTTGCATCCGGGTTTTACTAGGTAATAGTATTGTTGAGTACGAAAACCCCATTTTTCAAAAATACATGAGAGAAAATGCCATTCTCATGTGCACCTGTACCACTTTGTATTGGATGGGACACTTGCTACAAAAGCTGTATATGATAAACAATGAGAGTTTCAAAGAAGGGGAAGCTTAATATCCTCCATGAATTGCATACTTGTGTAGGTCTACTAGTTTTTCAGGGCTATGAGAAGACCATTGACTATACGTAGTCAATGTTAAGTCAAAGAAATAACGGAATGTAAAGGTTTCTATTATACGTTCCCAACGACTTGGCTTCTGGAATTCTAAAAAAAACTAAATTGAGTTGTGGCAGTGATTCAGAGATCAGAATTTGTATGATTGACATTTGAGTTTCACTTCTCGATCTTTAAAATTACAGAATGAAAGGTATTGCATAAAGTGTGCTTGGTACTTAATTTAACAACGGGTCTAGAGAGTAACAATGTTTTTTTTAAGTTTCCAAAGCAAAGATTTACATGTAGGCATATTTGAGTACTACTGTGTAACCCTAAGATTTTCAACTTACATCCGCAAGTGTTGATTTTTCTCTCAATGTCGTCCAATCTTCTGCACAAGGGCTGTAACCTCAGCAAGTCTTCCTCTACCTTAGACCACTTCTCTTTCTGTTGACGTACCTGTATCAGATAAATTTACTGTTTGTTAACTGTCAGACTGTTTTGAATTAAGATGGTATGTGATTGTACTTCAATTTGTGTTACTTCCGTCTCTAGGAGTTGGCATGTTGGTTTTCTTACACCAGTCAATTTTTAGCTTAGCCTGCAAAGACAAACCAATGTTCTTGGCTCTTTGCTGAAAAAATTAGAAGCTGAAAAAGATTTTTTGTCTTGTATTTTGGTGTAATACCAAGGAAAAAATAATTATTACAAAAATTTTGACTTTTTTGATTTTTTTTCACCATTTCTTTTATGATTATCTGTTTACTTGTGATAGTTCTGTAATGTAAAAAAATTACCCTGACTACCTAAGGTTAGGACCTTAAATTAGACAGGAATGAGTGAATATTTATTTTCGCAATGTGTACATAATATACAACTTCAGTACAAACAGAATGGCTCAACCATAGAAAAATAGAATAAATATAGACTGTCGAAGGAAGGTTCTGGCGCACACCACTAGGAGTACCGTGTAGTTACAGTGCACAACGCTACAGGTGAGGAGCGCAGGAGCCGTATGTGACCAGCAGACGCTGCAGCGGTGTGCGGCGTAACTACACGGCAAACCTAGCGGTCGACGCCAGAACTTATGCTAACCGCAGCACAGCTGACGGTCTATATTTATTCTATTTGTCTCTGGCTCAACTTACCATTGCTTCAAATTTCTTGTGTAAGTTGTCGATTGAAGCCTTTAACTCATCATTGGGCGGGCTGTCAGAAAGCTCCGTCTCTAGTTCATGTCTTGAAGATTTTTTCCAAATCTACAAAACAATAAAAGATTTATTACCTACATGAGAAGTGCATAACTTCTATTAACTGAATGACTTGTAAATTCAACAAGCTTTATCAAACCCACCTTTTCTAGTCTAGAAAGTTTTCTTGCTAGGATTTCAACGTCAGTTTTCCCTTCTAATGTTCTATTCTTACCTGAAAATGAAAGCAGGTGTTTAAAAAAGCTAGAATTGTTATCTTTTTTTTATTTTTAGTTTGCTAAAAATGATAACCTAAAAAACTAAAAATGATTATTTGATGCAAAGCAAAAGCATCAAATAACCCTCAACGAGACATCTAATGTTCAGAATGTTTGTGGAATCTAAGATCTTTTTACAATAATGTAAGAAAAACATAAATTTGAATGAAATATTGATTAAACACTTTAATCTAACTGTCTAATAAGATCTAATTCTCTTGCTAGCAGTTAGATGGTTAGATCTAAATTTGACCGTTAGGTTTGAGGTGGCAGCACTAGGATTAGTTTTCAATGGTATTTGGTTTAGTTATGCTTGTTGTATTCCTAGTCACTGTAAATAATTTTGCCATATGTTACTAATCCTCCTGACTTTAAATGTTGAACTTTTGGGCTTAAAAGGTTTTGAGTTACATGTATAAAATATAAATATCTTCTTATGCAAGATGTTTGTTCGAATGACAAAATGCAAACTTCAAAGTTTACAATGTTATCCTGTTTTTCTTTACATTTATGTTTAACTGCTACTTTATATACCTAACAGTAACACATCTTGTCAGTTATCATAATCAATTGAGATGGGGACACCACCTAGGTCCCCATACTTTAACCCAAATACAGTATGAGGGAAGAATGAATTTAGAGTGGAGTGAGATGATCTGTGTAGCTTTGAGATCAGCTGTTTCATTAGCCAACCGTGATATCATCTGTTAAAAAGAAAATTATTTACCAAGCAAAACTTAAGACACAATTTCTATCTATTATTTTCCTATTTTATAAGTACCTTTTTTTACACAGGAACGCTGATCCTGTCCTAGTCGGTAGCCAGGGCGACAACTACATTTGTAACTTCCCACAGTGTTGTTACACATATGTGAGCACGGTGTTACAGTCTCCTTACACTCATCTACGTCTGAAAAAATGTTACAGAGTAGCGTAAGTTAGCCTTTACACAACTTATACGAAAGATACTTAAAAATTGAGCATGGTAAAAGTAGCATCTAAACCATAACCAAAATTTCTTAAAATTCTGGAACAGATTTTATTGCAGTAAAATTCCCTCAGAATCAGTCTTCCTTCAGTGCTAGAATATTCTCTAATTTAATCTGTGAGTTTTGAGGAACAGATTTCCTTTATAAAACTTTATAATATTATTCATCCAATTCATATGGCTTGTTCAATGATATTATTATCTCTTATCCAATAAATCCAAAAATGTAATTTTGTCAGTAAATTTACTTTGAAAAGGCTCACAGTTTGCATGCGAGGTGTTATGGGCACGAGAGATAAGCTTAATTAATTGTGCCCATCCCTCCTTCCTCGTGGAGGAATTTTTCTCCTTGTGCCCCCAACAAACCTAAAACCTCTTACGTCCTTAGGCTCGTTTACGGAAGCGGCTCTGACTTTGAACTGTAATGCCGACACATAATGGTAGTAGTTTAAGACAAGAATGAAAAATTGGTTGCTGACTAAACCAGCAGATTATTTATTTGATCATTTAAACTTAAAGTTCAATGGCCAAGAACAGCTCGGTCTACTTTTGAACTTTTAAAAAGTACTTCAATCGATAAGATCAAAAATGGCAACCTTGGAGAACTAAGCGAGCTCTCCAACAATTCGGCTGCCTAAATCATTCATTGTAATTGTGGAAGAAACAATTTCAAAACATATCCACCTTGTTCACACTGAGGTCCTGTGAAACCAGGAAGACAAGAGCAGACCTCTGGCTGAGAACACAGTCCTCCATTTTGGCATGGCTTGCTGCAAACAGCTGGAAAATCACACCTTTTAATTTTTAAGATGAATAAAGACTCCTTGATAGATTTGAGAATGCAACATAAAGCGCACGGGCCTAGAATTTAGAGATTTTTGTTAAGATAGCAGGCTTACCTCAATGAAAAAGAGTCCACCCATGTACAAGAAACCCAAAAACTTTACATTTATGTTGGACTTTTGTCTATCATAATAAAATCAAATATTTCATATTCATTTTTAGTGAATCATGATTTAGTTGTCATTTGTGCTGCCTAAATCTGTTGTTTGTTGATACACTACTGTACGACCAGCCAATGGGAATGGTACCTACGAGTGTTACATCCGTAGTCAGTCTTGGGATCCTGCGCCCAGCCAGGACAGCATTGATAGGTAGTTTCCTTTGCAACTTCTTTGTCGTACACGTCTCTGTACGCTGTCTCGTAAACTACTCTGTAACAAACAACTGACTCTGTGACTCGTGGATAAGTGGATGCATCTTTCCACCTGTGAAACTCAAAAATTACCTACACATGGCTAAAATAATATAGCCACATGATATTTTAAGGTTGGCAAATGATGCTCTTTTAGTTATAAGAGCTCTTTTAGTTTGGCACAATTAAAAATTTGGCGTAAGAAAGAAATAGGTACGTATTTTTAAAGGTGCATTCTGTCAGTGGTTCAATTGAACTAAGTTTTATTCTCATTCTAAAACTGCGGCTTCGACCTTAACAAAGGGTTTGAGTCTCTTCTTCATAATTTTGTATCTTTAGTGATAGTTAGTAGGAAACATCTGATACCTGACGCCTCGACACAGTTTGTCATGACAGCGATGTACATAACTCTGGTAGGTTGGTTTTCTGTAAGCCTCAAACTTCTTTACAGGTCTGCTAACTTCTTTCTCCACTGAGCAAACGTGTCTCCTGAAAGAGAATAATAAATAACATTACACATATGACTGCTTTCCTAGACTATAGCGTCCCCATGGCATTCAACACATTCTTGTTTGGTAGACCCTATTTAATAGTTAAACTGTAAGTTTTGCGACTGGTATCACAAAATGAGTGTGTACTTTTATGCATGTACGTGGGGATCAAATTGAGTATATTTAAAGCTTTATTCTTCCCAATGATATACTGTTTTACTCATACATTTGACCGAAGTGCTATTGGTTTACTTAAGTGGTTTGGCCCAAACAATTGAATGATAAACGCAATGAATTCGAATTGTATAGTCGTAACCCGGAGACTTTTGTTTTGCAGCAGGTGTCATTAGAATCCATAGTTGTTTTCAAAGTGGACCTTATCCAACCTATAGTCAATGAGGATGCCTCATCAAGCTAAAAGCTGAGTTTGGCAGTATCATCAATCTGATGAGGTTAACACCCAAAACCACTAAGGATTCTGATAATTGTCGTCATACTGCAGCAAAGACAGAACAGTTGCTAGTTCAAAAGAGTAAAATTAAAAACAATAATGGAATTTATTTAAGGAGCTTCTTTTTTAGATGAAAAGTATTTTTTTTTTTTACTTAGTTTGCATATAATGGTGCAATGTAATAAAAAATAAAAAGCCCTGGCTCATTTTCCCTTTAGCTTAAACTTGGGGTCGAAAAGAGTCGGGTGCCCTAATGACACAATTTTTGGTTTTGTTTTGTTGTTTGTCTTTTTTGGTGTTTTATTTTATCTGTTTGGGGAGCACCGAAGTCTTAAGGGCTTCATCTGTATGTGTCCCATGATTTTGCACCCCATTGCGGCATTATCATATATAGGTAAAAGCCATGGTGATTGGTGGGATTAGAACCTTGTACCTTGTACCTCAGAAACCGAAGTTCCGCAAGTTACCACTAGACCAGCTCATTCCCGTGTTTTGTGTAATTTTTTTGTTCTGGTTGCATGACTTTTTTATGTTCATTGAATTGTTTTTAGTGTTTTCCTTTATGAACCTATACCATATGGAGAAAGTTTTGTTTTTGTCAACATTTTCGAGTTTGAGTTTTGAGTGGATTCGTTTTGTGTCCCACTGAAGCAAAAAAGTGGTTTTTAAAGTGGTGTCTGTGTGCGCATGTCTGTCTGTATGTGTGGATGTGTACAGAGCTACAGACCACAACTGTAGTACAATTTTGATGAAATTTGTTATGAATCCATGGTATCTCAAGGTGTTTTTTCAATTTTTATTTTAAATGGGGATTTTCCCATGAATATCATAAAATAACGGAAATATCAAATTTTCTAAAAAATGGCTTGGACGGTTTTAATAAAAACTTGTTATAGTCCTTTAAATTCTGAACAAAATGCTATAACTCCCATTACTGTAATAATTAAGGTTCAAATCCTAATTTATGTTATTGTCCCATAAAAACTCCATACAATAAGGAAAATCCGGTTTTGAATAAAATTAGTATGTTATGGTCCTTTAAATTCTGAACAAAATGGTATAACTCCCATTGGTGTAAACATTACAGCTCCAAAGATATTGAAACTTAATTGATTTTCCCTATAAAATATCAAAGTTACTCCCACCGTTTACCCATGATGAAGGTTGTTCACAAGCTAATGGGAGAAAGTATGCCTATGTGTCAGATTGCTGATACCGTTTATTTTACGAAAATTATGGGAAATGTCTGCAATAATCCAACAAACTACAAATATTTAGTTAATAAGTATCCTTGTGCACTTTAGACTATATGTATAGCCCGAGAGTGCTATGGTGTTTATGTACTGTATTGCAAGTAGTGTGTAGGTAGTGGCAGTGTCAAACTCCAAGGCTATCTTATGTTATGCGTTCATTGTCATTTTACTGCAAATATTTCCAGCTTTGATGGCAACGCTTTTCCCTGTCTGAGAATGTTATGGTTTTATCTGAATCGCGACCTTTGCTGCACCATGTGGGGGCTTGTGTAGGAAGTGAGTGCAACGAGAAGTATGACTGCACTTGGATGGATATGCCTAACCTAAAGACAATAAATTTCTTTTGTAAACATTTTTGGATTTTATGGTTTTTTTACGAAAAGGCCTAAACATTGGCCGTGTTACTTACGTCAAACGGTATTTGTGATTCTAAAGGATTTTCAGATAAAGTTGCTTCAGTGTTGCAACCAAACATGTAGGAAAGTGCACCTGCCACTCCCAACCTATGTAAATTTGTCCTGTGGGATTTACTTTTAATTGGTCATGACCACGCATGTATTTCAATACTCCGTGTTTGGTAACGTTATACCACTGCAATATAACTGTTCCATATAGAAAAAATGATCCTCAAATAGGAAAGGAATATGTCAAAGTACTGCACGTAAGCAACAGCGACGCACACAGCACACCAGGTGCGTATAATATAGGATGATACAGGTTTAATTTATGGTAGAAAGGGTTGAGCATCATTGATTAAGTTAATTATTGATTAACACCAGCTGTTCCGTCAGTCACGGCCATTTATGCACAATGATGGATAACAATGGGCAGCTGAGTTTAGTTTCGATCAAAGAAAAAAACAAATAGGTAACTTTCTTCAGGTTTGAATTGGCTACCTAATTCGTAAATACTATAACCATTTAGCTACCGGTACTCAGCTATAAATTGGACATAAAACAACTCAGATTTAACATTTTACAACAAGATGAGAGGTGTAAAAGTGGCCTTGCATATCCAAAGTCAACGGTTCATATATTGGTTCAAGACCACCTGGTTTCTGCTTCGTGGCTTCGTGCTGCCAGTGGCGGCTCGAACGACTGGTTCGAGACAAAATAAAAAGCCCAAGTCAAACTGCACGAGTGAGACGTGTGAGAGAGAAAGATATATGCAAAACAAAGAGCAATGGACCTGAGAGAGAAGGATATATGCATAACAACAATGGAATAGAGAGGGAAAGAGAAGTTCGCGGCGAGAATTAACTCAGTGTCACTTAGCCGAGGTATTAACAGCTGATTATTGTAGGAGTCCATTAACGGATATAGAGTGGTTTGAGGTGTTAATGCCACTCGTGGTTCTGATAATTTCTTGCATCTCAGTGTAATTATTGATAAATTTACTTCTCACAGCTGATTTACTTGTTGAATTACAGTTTGTCACACTACTTTAAGAAGGGGGTATTGACCTGTTATTTTTATAGCTTAAATTAGTTGTTTATGTTTGATTATTTGTGTCAGATATTTTCAATAGAACTCAAGATTGAAAAAAAATCGATGAGTTAAAGACATTATTAGTTTAGTTTAAAGTTTACCTACTTTAAGTTGATCTATTTTAAGTATCACAACATAGAGATGGTGTTTGTCTGTAATCATTGTTAAAGGTAAAATTTGCATAGTAAACCTTGATAACCTATAGCCTAATTTTATTCGTGCCTTTAAAATTCCCTGAGTCAGCTTCTCGTGTAGTCCAAAGTTCTGAGTTAGCTTTAAAAAATATACATCGATCGGTCCACACTTTGGCAAAATATAAAACTGCAATTTTTACTCCTCTACTAACATTACATTTTTACTTTGATAAATGTATAAATTTGTAAACATATTTTTTATACTGTACAATTTTGTTAAGTTGTACATTTAGCCCTCCACACAAAACTAATCAATTTGAATTGATTGAATCAATCAAAATATAATTTAAAAATAGTGGCACGTTAGATTTGAGGTTGGTACAATTGTTAGTTTTGGGAACTTTTTCGTACAGTACCTTATTCTTCATCCGTTGCAAAGGACTTGAAAGTCAAATAGTTTATCTAAGTCAAGTTTGACTGATATAGTTTTCTAAAAATTTACTGTTACTATGAAATTCCACTAGGATATGCTTGTAACAAAGTTTTGTAATCACTCAAAATGTGATGCAAAAAATAAATCGACTCAACTTTAAAAGCTGAAAATGGTGTATCGTGTTTGCAAGACTTGAGTTAACTAGTTTCCTGCTTCACCCTCATATCTATATCTGAACTATCTCCAATTACTGGATGGCGTGGGCTTAGTTGTGCAATTAAGGATACTTTACACTTAAACGCAGCTTTGCCACATATAACTCGGCCAATTAATAGTGTAATAGTCTACAATCACTGTCAATATTATATCGTAATAGTGAATTCGCATACATTTCTAATATGTCATAGTAAAACGAGTAGGTAGTAGTGTTTTGTTCATATACCGCTTACATAACTAGTTTTACGTTGTGCAGGTCTAAATATTCCTGTCAGCTGGGTTCAAATCCCACCAATCACAAAATAGTTTGAGGAATAACTTCGTAAGACAAGGTGCAGAGTGCAAATATTTTTATAGGGAACTTAGCTGGCCCGACAGACGTTGTTCTGTCCTAATGTGGTTTTATGTCAAATGCTCGTTTATTTTCAAGATGAGCTCGTTCGCATAACTCAATCACGTCCTGGTTGAAGTTCGTTCGCTACGCTCACTCACCTTTTGGTTGCTAACTAGCTGCTGTCATAAATTTAAAAAATAATACAGTAGTGCTGCGCCCTGTTGGTAAACCTATCAACTTTTTAATACTATTGAACATCACAGAATCAAATTGTTTAGTTGAACCAGCTGTTAAGATTCTTTAATTCCATTTAAATATGAGTACTCATAAGGTTAACATGGGAAACTCCAGAGCCACTGGGGCGGAGCCCTTTTGACGGATCTGCACCAAACTTCACACAAACCATCATTGAATAATGCTTAATAATGCCTAAAAGTTTCATTACAATCTGTCGAGCGGTTTCGGAGTCCATAAAGGACAAACAAACAAACAAACGTACAAACAAACATACATTGGATTTTATATATATAGATAGATGAGAGAAATCTTTCAATATAGAACAGTTGTCCCAATTTTCACGGCGATCGGCTGCACAAGTAATGTAAAAAGAAGAACTTATTTCTTTATTACAGTATGTGTGCTATTCTCGTTTGTCTGAAAATACCTCTCATATACTAAATACTACAATAA